TTATTAAAACAATACAGTTTTATTTATGAAATATTCTAACACTTGTACAGTTCATGTGCATTTTATTAAAATAAATTTAAACAAATAAAATTACCATAAATGTAGATTTTGGTTTTTCTTATCCTGCCAATTCAAATTGTAATTTACAAACTATGACATAAAAAATAAGAAATTAAAAAAATCACAAATGTAGAATATACACTGATATGCCATATATTACAGGATAGTTGATTGTCACATACAGGACACCTTCTAACCTTGCAAAGTGAAGCAGCTTCATGTGGTGTCATTTCCACCTATGGTTGAAAGAGTTCTGGAGGGATGTTGAGCCATGCTAATTCTCTTTCTACAATTTCTTGATATTTATAAGTGCATGATCTTGCATGCAGATAGACTTCTCTACTATATTCCATAAATGTTTGATTGGGTTCATGTTGTGTAAACATTGTAACTGCACCATTTATTAGAACTCTTCAGAATGCTGGCCAATTCAGGGCAGTTTGAATCCAATGACATCATGCATTATCCTGTTGGAATAACTCATCATTGTTGTGGCTTAAATGGGTGCAAATGGTAACAAAACAGTGCAATATCATGGTTACCAGCCAATGACTTGTTTAGGCAGACTAGTGAATCCAACCTATTATGGAATTATCATCACCAGCCTGCACAGTGACTTTTTAATCACTGGGATCAATAGTCTTGGGGGGGTCTGCACCACACTTTAATATTATTGACCTTAAACAATTAAAACCATGACTCACCAGACCATGTCACATGTTGCCAATCCTCCATAGTTCAGTTAGCATTTATCACAAGGCCAGATGATCAGTTTCATGTTATGAAGTTAAGGAGCACCCTGTTGAATATTCTTCTCCTATATCCCATGAAAGCTAAAGAATGTTTAACTGACCTATTGAATATGCTTTTGATACCGCCTTCATTGATTTTGGATGATTTGAATCATTATCAGTTGTCTGTTAACAAAAATAATTCTAGTTAAATACCTCTGGTCACAATAATTAAGGAGCTGTGATCAGCCACAGCTTATAACATCACAGATCAAAGGATGTCAATTATCCATATGGTTTCAGAAATGGAATATTCCATTTGTCTATCACTTGCTATCAAACTCCAATCAATTCTCAGTAATCCACATCAACTTGCCATGAGCAGCTTAGCCAGAGTATAACTGATATTGGTCTGGGTATATGAAGATACAGAAATGCCACCTATCATTTCTTTTTACATACTGTTAACTCATGACTTTGGCATGCCAATATACACTAAGGATAAAGAAGGAATAAGATGTTATGAAGATACAAAACAGTTTTTATTATTTTTTTTTAAAGTACTTAGTCATTCAGTATCTTTTCACTAAATTTTGTAAAAAGTAAATAAATAAAACTAAAATCAGATGACTGCAGATATACATTTTTATATCTAATCTACTGACAATTTACTTAAAAGAAAATTGAAATAGCTATAACTTTTATTTGACTTAGCTTCATTGTTTTTAACATTGGCTAGATTTGATTTCAAAAGACAATCCTAAATGCATTTATTTTACGTAGGAATATACATTTCTGTGTAAAGGGCTTTCAAGCTACGTATACTGTGTGTATTGAACATAATCTTATTTTTATTTACATTTATAATAAATACATTGACTATATTGTTTCTTTGTTTTTTAATGATTTCACCCCAAGTAAGGCAATAAATTCACTAAGATGCAAGGGGTTACTGAGGGTGAAAGAAACTGAGAGAACATTGAGCAGAGAGAGAGAGAGAGCATTAAAAGTTCAGTATTCAAGGAGGTAGATTAACATTGCATTTAAATTTTTGAATATCGTAATTGACAGGAAAACAAGAAACCAGAAGAGTTCCACAAGTGGGAAATACGAGAGAAGAAACTATTAACATAGAGCTTATGGTTACTCACAACAATTTCAACAGTAAAATGATGCCAATCTAGTACTACACATAAATTTATGAAATCCAGATACCAAAGAAGAAAGCTCATCAGAACAATTACCATGAAAGTATTTATAGAAAAGACACAGGGAATCTGTTACAGCAGTGAGAAATTGACTGAAGCTGAGATGCCAGGTCAGGACTGATGACAATGCAGTTACTTCTTTAAATACTATCAAGAATCTCTAGATACATAGCAGAAGACTAGACCAGATATGACAGCAATGTTGGATGCATGGACAAATGGTAGACTTATAAATGTGCAAGATAGATTCTGGCAAGAAAAATTGTCTACCCCCAATGCAGTGAATCAACTTTCCTAGCAGAAAACTTAGCAATTGATTCAATGTAATCATTCCACTTCATGCCAGTAGAAAACGTTAGCCTGAGTTTAGTATTAACCATGATGATGGATAAGGCAAAAAAAGGCTCTCTTATACAATTAAAGGTGAGCAGTTTCCTTTTGGGGGTATTAAAATTAACAAGCCATTTCTTACCCCAGTTAACAGATTGAAGGTCCAGTTGCCAGTTTGACTTTATCAAACTTATCAGATTTACCATTAAGACAGGGGTAAATACTTATATCATCAATATGAATACCAAGTCAAGAACTGATGACATCAGGAATGTTGTTGATGAATATTAGGGACAAAGTAGGTCCAAGGATAGAGCCCTGGGGGACACTTGCATTAATGTAAAACAATCTAGGAGAGTGGCTATTCAAGATAACTTTCATTTAACAATTTGGTAAGATTGAATTAGATAAAAAAAAAAAATTCAACCAGAGACACCATAACTCTTCAACATGTGAAAAAGACCAGCATACCAAAGCCTGTCGAATGCCTTCAAGTTATCTAAGTTGACAGCTAAAGCTTGATAGACTCTTTCACAAATAACTGATAATACATTGGCATTTGACCTAAAGAAGTGGAAGCTACATTGTTTGTCTGAAAGAAAACTTTGCAAGGTGAAATTGCCTGAGTTCTTAAAAACAGAAACTACAGAAGAGGATTTCTAACAAGCTGGAAAGCAAGAATTTATTTTTTAGATGTAATCAAAATCCTCTTAAATTAGAATAATACAAAACTTGAAAGTTAACTGGATTCAGTGACACATTTTTCACAATAATAAACGATCTGTCTCCTTGAATCCTGATCTTTTAACTTTCTCTCTCTCCTCAACATTCTCTCTCACTCTCTCTCTCCTCAACATTCTCTCTCACTCTCTCTCTCCTCAACATTCTCTCTCACTCTCTCTCTCCTCAACATTCTCTCTCACTCTCTCTCTCTCCTCAACATTCTCTCTCTATCTCCTCAACATTCTCTTTCTCTCGCTCTCTTTTCAACATTCTCTTTCTCTCGCTCTCTTTTCAACATTCTCTCACTCTCTCTCTCTTCAACATTCTCTCTCTCTCTCTCTCTCTCTCTCTCACTCTTTTGACTTAGTGGTTTTATAGCCTTGTTTTGGGTGAAATGATTAAAAAAAAATAATTAAGGCACATTCTAACATACGTCAATCACAAAAGAGAATATATTGTGCGTGTTGTTAAGCTTAAAAAAATTACTTAAAACTGAAGAGTACTTGAATTAAAATATATTTTCATATTTTCTTCATAAAAATTTAATTAAATTTGATATTTCTACAATACATTTTTTTATATGAATTTTCTATGATTGTAGGAATTTTATTTTTATAAAATTATTTTTCACATAGTTATTATCATTCCAAAATGTGTAAAACGAAAAAAGGATACTTTAGGAAGTAAAATATTTGAATAAATTTTTTTTTTTTTTAAAGTATTATAAAAAAATAAAAAAAATGTAATCACTCCATAAAAAATTTTTAACATCAAATAATATTTAAGTATAATCATACTGATAAATAACTTCCCTTTTATTTTTATTTTATTTTTTTTTTTTTAACATTGACTATTCTATTTGGTTGGGAGAAGAATGAATTTGTATAATACAAAGAATGAGCATGTGCTCAATAACAAAGAAACAAAAAATTTATCTCCCTTTTTCAAGCTTGTGGCTGTCTGTATGTGTTATGGAAGAAACACTGCCCTGTTTAGATTGTTATATCAGGCAATGGTAACAACAGAAATAAGGAAACACTGACCTGAAGTTGTGTGTCCACCAGGAGATTGTAATGAGAATAGATCAGATGTGGGCATCTTGGCATACAGCTCCTCTGCTACTATTGTTGTTGCTACTGCTGCTGCTCTTACTGTTTTACATATAAGAGTGAGTGCCTTCTGCTTCATTAAAAACAGTATGCTCCTATATGCAATAAAACTCCAATTTTTATCCAGAATGCTGAGTATAGTAGAAAACTTTGATCACCATTTTCATATCCAGTTTGTTTGTTTTTTCTATTTTTTTCCAATTGAACAATAATCCATGAACAGCCTCTGCAAGTTCTCAGATATTAAGCATGTTTGTTACTCTTTTGTGAGTAGAATCAATAACTTGTCACTCTCAGTTTGCATCTCTGTCCAGAAAGTGATTCTGAAAATGTTTATATTTAAAATTGTCCAAACCTCCAGGAAATGGAAATTAGTAGTTTGAGAATATTGATTCTGCTAGATTAGATAATAAAACTTATTTATCAAGATTATAATTAAAGTTTTGTCCTTGTTTCAGTCTAATGAATTTTTTTTTTAAATTGTACATACAGGTTCATAAAAACTCAAGGACTGACAAAAAGTAATTTTGAATAATTTTTTAAAGAAATATTTGTTCTACTGCCATTTTAAAAATTATTATGGGACTAATTTAATTTACTTAAATTAATATAAAATGGAAAGTCTCTCTATATTATAAAGTAATATCATCTTAAAACTAAGCCATTATATTACAATGTCATAATAAAAATAATTGCTATTGACAATTAAAATATTAGTAGAGTTTATATTTCTTTACTCCTTAATTTAAGTACTGAGTTTTGAGAAACAATTCTTTTTCAATTCAAACATTAAATTAGCACAAAGATCTTCAAATATCGATTAAAAGTTCTTCAGTATTTTATGTAGATGTTGAATTTTGTATGGAGGTATGTGTTTCTTGTATTGGCTGCATTGAATCAGAGCTTTGGTCTTCCTGTCCTTCTCGAAAGTCTTCTGCTACTGTGTCAGTTTGTTCTTCTTGTGGTTCACATATTTCATCATCTGCATCGACATTGTGTAATTGTAGCTGGGTGTCAGAAGTGCATCTATCAACTGCACTATGCTTCAGAGTAGACCACTGCCTATAATCAGAACTAGGGTTAGCATCTGCCTTATACAACCGTCTTGGTACAGTCCTTGTATCTCCTGGGGACATGAATGTCTGTAGTGATGGCTTCATATCTGTGTATTCTTCGTGGATACTCTGCGATGAATGTGGTTCATAATAATCTGACGTATCAGAAACTGAAAAGAGCAAATTAAAAAAATGTAAACAGAATTTATTTGCCATTGATCTTTTAAAGTATATATTAAATAATAACATATGTTTAATTACTATTGTAATTAAATGTAATTTATGAATTGATATACTTCCAACTTACCAGACACATTTTGACAGTGATTTGCATATCTTTCAGCATAGGGATCTTCTTTATCAGGGTGAGAAGTGGGTTCCATGTCAGGGTGATAAGCAGATGCCATACAGTTTCTGTCTTCATGTCTCTTACCACCAGTTGCACCTCGGATTTCCTTTCATTACACAAAAACATAAATCTTAACAAAATGAATAATTCTTAAACATTTTATATAAGGTATAAATGAGAAATCGATATGGATGAGTTGAATGGCAGTTGATTGGCCTCTCTAGTCTTAGACAGAAGGCAATACAGAAGACTGACTATTCTGAATTTAAAATTCTGGGAAAGACAACAGGAAACAAATTCATTATCCTTTCTCGGAAGTCGTAGCAATTCACAGCTAATAAAGGATTGGAATCTTTGCACAACCATGAAAAGATATCACATTTAAAAATAGTAAATTCTTGAATTAAAAAAAAATTATTAAAATCTAGAAATGCTTTTTTATATTTATTTTGTTTCAGAATAAAATACAATCATAAAAATTAACTTTGTCTAAATGTCTCTTACCACCAATTCCACCTGGGATTTCCTTTCAACAAAGGAAAACATACAAATAGAAGTAAAATTAATAATTCTTAATAAACATATTATATAAATATAATTGATGAATAGATATGAATTAATTTCTATATTATGAAAATTATAAAAATGGAAAAATAAAATTGCATATTTACCTCATAGATGACTTCAGTAGCAGTTTGTACTTTTATTCCAAGGGCTGAACTTCTACGTCCATCATCCAAAACATCTGCACAATGTTGGGGCCTTCTGCCTCTGCCCGGTAGAGTTCTACAAAGCACATCTTGTTCTGCTCATTTTAGCAACAGACACACCAGACCAATAAGTAGTCTGGTAAGATGGATGCATTGGATGTGCCTGATCAGGATAATATTTGCTGGAAGCAGCAGCCAATGGATGTGCATGTGCAACACTTCTAGTATCAATGCAACGAAGGATGCAGATGGAAATGGCAGCAGTAATTGGGATAGCAACGGTGACTGCAACCAACACAATGACAATCAGTAAATACTGGTGGATCTTGATATCAGTATGCATATTTGCAGCATTTAACATATCTGCCGTATTGTTACTAACTGCCAATGTCAAAAACACTGACGTCTTTGCAGACAAAACTGGACTACCACTATCCTTGACCATAAACTGCAGATGATAGGAGCCAGCATCTTGATGGCTAAGTAAGCGACTGAAAGATAACAATCCAGTATAATGATTGATGGCAAACAACTGTTTATCATTACCTTCAGTTATTTCATATTTGAGAAATGCATTCTCTTGACTGTCACTATCGGCAGCCTTGAGAAGCGTGATGTTCTTTGTATGATGGGGATGATATTTCACATCCAGATTGTAAGGATTAACACTGGGAAATGTAAAATATGGAGCATTATCATTTTTATCTTCAATCTCCACAATCACATTGACCGTATTATCAAGTGGAGGGCTTCCATTATCTTTAACTAAAACCTTGAATTTATAAATGTCTTTGAACTCATGGTCAAGAGACATGATTGTAGAAATCAAACCATCACTGGTGATCTTGAAAGGTAAGAAATCTTCATTTTTGGTGAGCACGGAATATGTGAGTCTACTGCCAGCTCCAAGATCAGGATCAGTGGCATTGATAGAACCAACTGGTGTTTTTGGAATTTCATTCTCAAATACAGAGAATTTAAAAGTATCTTTTGCAAATTGTGGCTGTACATCATTGACATCTTTCACTTTGATGGAGAATTTGCTATCACTGTGTTGCGGAGGAGATCCTTCATCTTTGCAGCTAATTGTAATATCATGGTGATCTTGCATTTCTCTGTCAACTTTGTGCTTCAATGTCACTTTGTATTCTTTTGATCTCAGTTTCTGCAATCGGAATTTATCATGGTGCAACTCACAGTTCACTTCTCCATTTTGTCCAGCATCAGGATCTGTCACTTTGACATAGGCTATAAAACTTCCCACCTCAATGTCTTCAGAAATGGTTGCTGTATTGTCTGTTGATTCAGACATGAAAGTCACAAATATATTTGGAGGTCTGTTTTGTGTATTGACAATATTTATTAAAACTAAAGCAAACCCTATCAGTGGAGACCTCCCACTATCTGTTGCTCCAATGAACAACCTATAGATATTATTTTTAGTATCTAAAGGCAATTTTTTCCGTAAAAATATGTTTCCAGTTAATCTGTTTAATTCAAAATAGTTTTTAATTGTTTCTGATGTTTGGGATCTGAAAAAATATGATATTTGTCCATTTTCTCCATCATCTAAATCTGTTGCAGACACAGTAACAATTGGTAAATCTGCAGAGTCTTTGTTTTTAATTGAAACATTGTAAATGTCCTTGGTAAATATTGGTGTGTTATCATTTATGTCATCAACAGAAATTAAAACATTTAAGAGAGTTTGTTTTATAGGAGACCCACTATCTTTAGCAATTACTTGTATCATATATGAATCTTTATTTTCTCTGTCTAGTTTTTCTTCAACTGAAATACTAAGTTCTGGTGTCCCATATGGTGTACTATGAACTGATAAAGAAAATGGATTATTATTTTTTTTAAGCTCATAATTTATTTTAGAATTATCTGCTCCAATATCTTTATCTATTGCATTAGGAATAGTCTTTTGAAATCCTTTGCTGACTCCTTCTAAAAAGTGTATCCTGATCTGTTTTTCAGGAAATTTTGGTTCATTATCATTGATATCATTTATTATAACTTTAATTTTTATGATCCGCATAAAAGATTTCCCACGTCGTACTGCTACATCCACCATTTGAAAACATTCTGTATCGGAGAGACAAAGTGATTCAGCATCAAGAGTTTGTGCTGTAAATAATTTTCCTGATTTTTTGGCAACATGGAATAAGTGAGAATTGCTTGAAGTGCTTTGTTTCAATTGGTTGAATGTAACCAAGCGTCTTTCTTCCAAAGGAACATTCTTCATCACCTTAGAATCAGCTGCAATATCCCCCAAGTAGGTGCCTGGACTCTTGCCTTCATCCACACTGTATGTTAAATCTATACATTGACTGGTATGAATGATTACTATTAAAGCATATATTGATGTAGTAAACATCTCTGTAAGATAATACCCAGACCAGAAAGGGGTAAATTTCGTCAGATTTATGTAGCACCTGAAATGAATATATAACAATCATTATTTAGGAAAATTGATGCTTTACTGTTTACAATTTATTATTCAGCAATATAAAACTAGTAATGAATAAAAATATAAATGGTTTAAAACAAATTATTTGTATAAATTTTAGCACTTACTTCAATAAATATTTATTCATCTTTGAATGTAATTGTCTTTTATATCTTCTTAATTATTTATGTTTTGAAGTTTAATTCAGAAAATATACTACTATAAATAATTTAAAAAAATGTGTGTATAAAACTTGTTAATATCAAATAAAGAATATTAATTATCTTTATAAGAGGTAGGTGTGAAAGAAATTCAGTATTAAAATCTGAACAATCATGTCTGTCACTCTTAGATTATTCATTATATTCAATATTGATTTTCTTTTTGATACAAGATATGTAAATTCTAGAAAACATTCTCTCTAGAAAAACATGTTTTCAAAGCAAATATAAACATCTAATATTTCCTCTATACATATTATTTGATGATAAATTTATATTCTTCAATGTAATATTGATATATTTATTTGGAAAAACAAATTGTCGTAATATCAGACAATAGAAAGGAAAAAATATATGAAATTAGAATTGAGAGTTTGACATTTTTGACTTTTTGAAAAGATTTTTTTTTTATAAAAATATGAAGAGAAAAAAAAAATATTTGAAAATGTTTGTTCATAAAATTATCTTTTGTGCATTTTGTGTTAGTTTTATGTGTCCCACCTCTTTACAAAATGATGATCATGTCACTGTTCTTAATCTCTTTGAAAATATAATCATTCTCAATTTCATTCTGTGTTTGATTTCTAATATATTTATGATGTAGTGCTAAAAAGTTCTGATAAAAAAAACAAAAAAAGAAATTCTTATGTTTTCTTATGTTTAGTCAGTTGGTCAGATTTTGGGAAGTGAGTCGGCCCAAATCAACCCCCCCCCAATACTATCTCCATAGCCTTCAAACTAACACTGCAAATTTATTTGTGGGTTAGTCAATTGTATTTTCTTTTTGTTTTTTGAGAATGCAAGTGCATGAAGCTAGTAATTTTTTGCAATATTTTGTAAAAACTGATTTGAAAGTCATGTTAAAAGAATGTTTTCCATATATTCTTACTTTAATAGACAAAAGGATCTATTAACATGATCACTAAAAAATATATGCAAGCATATTAAATGATTTGCTATTTAGTTCTCTAATTCACGTTCTAGAATATCCTTAAAGGGTACATAATTCTTGTTTTAAACTATCTCCTATGTGCTGCACTTTGAATTTTTTAATCAGATGAAACTGATTTGGGGAGTAGGGTCTTGCTATCTTTATATTTGACTATTTATGGCCTAATATTGGTATACTTTTTCCACATCTTTACTGCCTGCAGCATATATTAAAGAAAACAACAAGTACTCCTATTGAATTATATAATGCCAATGTATTTTCTTTTTTAAAAAGATTAGGAAGTATCTTTAATCTATTTTGACGAAAACATGAACAAAATGAAAGAATATTTAAAAAAAAAAAAGATAGGCAATCAGCCTCTGTTATTTAAATAAAATGTATATAGGTTGAAAAAAGCAATATAGATGGTACAAATAAAGAAAAAAATAATTCAATAATGTAATAGTAAATTTTTAAAAAATCAGTAAAGAAAAATGTAAGAAACTAATGGTCAGAGAATGAGATAAGTTGTATAATCCTGGACATAAAATTACTATGGAATATTCCATATAAGTTCACTTTCAATGCATTTTCACCTGAATAGGTTACTTTCTCTTTTAATCAAAATTTCATTCTCAAAGTCAAAATTACAGTGAACAACTAATTTACCAAGTGTATTATTTTCTACAAGATCCTTTTTGTGTTCCTATAATCTTTTATTTAAATTCCTAGATGTTACACTTATATATTTCTTGAGGACGTATTTTTTTCAATCTATTTTTTAATTTCTTCAAGTTTTAGGTTATTTAGCTTTGTGTTAATTAAATCTCTAATCGTTTCTTGAAGTAGTTGTAACTAATTTTATATTGAGATAAATTCTTTTCAATTGTGGTTATGTGCTGAGTTGTATCAAGATTATTGAGGTTATTATCTTTTTTTATTTCAGGATTTTGTAAGTTTTTCACTTTGTGTTATATATAAAATAATTTTGGGTGTTGGAGGAGTTTCAAAGTATTTTCAATGTTCTTAATCATGTAAACATTGAGGGCTACAAATTCTAAGTGCTCTCTATATAGAATTCAATAATTATTCCAGGTTTTATTGTGTTGGGAATAGAGTTTGAGATCATTTTTGTTTGTGGATTTACAATAGATATTTAGTTTTAGATTATTATCAATATGGTTTATTATGATATCAAAGAAAGGTAATGTATCGTTTGTTTCACTCTCACAAGTAAATTTAATTATACATTTAGTTTATTTATAAGATCAGGTAACATTGTTTTGTGGGGGTATAAAGCATTATCAGTATATCAGAAATATGTTGATTATTTAGGTAAAATATTTTGGAAAGGACCAGTTTCAAGAAATTCTAAGAAAAGACAAGCTAAAACATTTGCAAATTTAATTAAGTAATTTATTAAAGTGAAACTGTATTGAAAGTTATGTTAATTTGGGAATTTTCTACAGTAGAAAAAAATAATTGTTTACATTTCAACATGACCAACAATATAAAAAATAAAATCACCATGACAAGTGATTTAAAAAAAAATATTCAGAATTTCATTAAAGTTTTTGATTTCTATTCATTAATAAATAAATAAATACATTATTAACTGGTGTTGAACTGAAAGAAAATAGTATACTTTTTAATAAGAGGATAAAATAAATTCTTGTGAGATTAAAATGATAATCAATAAAAAAAAAAAAAATAATAATAAAAATTAAGGTGATAACAGGGATGATTAAATTGCTTCAAAGTCATAATATGCTGAAAGTAAAGATTACTTATATTCCTATTATGTTTTCAACATTAATGCTTTGCATGAATGATTTTCATATGTGAGCTATAATACAGTTGAATTTTTATTGTCCAAAAATTTGATGTGGTTAAAGATGATAATTTTATATTTTTTGCATGAAACAAAATATATTGATGACTCAGAGTGGAATACAGTTTTAACATAAGGGATATGTTATACAAAAATCAATATAACATTCAGTAAAATAATAATCAGTAATGAATAGAAAGATATGCAATTGTAGAGCAACTACCCTATTTCAACAAGATTACAGCTCAAAAGAAACAGAATTTAACTTACCTGTAATTTTGTATTAACAAGAAAACTCTCTGGAACTGAGACAAGAGATATGTGAATGCATTTTCACACAAAGCTCTGCTACTACTGCTGCTGTCCTCTCACAACAAAGTGGTTTCTCTGTTTGTGTGTGTGTGTGTGTGATTGCATAAATGAGAGAAAGAGGCTTACAGTTCTATTAAGTGTGCTGTATACAAAATGGCTGCCCAAACCACAATCAGGAAAATGAAGACAAAATAGCTTGCAGGAGAAAATTGGAGCACTTTTCAGCCTATCAGGTTTAATGTTTTTCTTTTTGATGAATATTGTAATATTTCATATGGTAGTAGATATTTCTTTTGCAATATAGAAAATATACAAAATTTTAGAAAAGTTCAATTAATGAGTACGGTTCATGAGAATCTATATTTTATATTGCACACTTTTACAGAATGTTTTCTTTACATTATAAACACTCCAGTGAAAAATAGATTTATCTCAACTGTAAAACTAGGTGAAAATATATAGATCACTGGATAAGTTTTAGGATATTGTTCTCTTCAAGGTAAGTCTTTTCTTTTATTTGTTTTACGTATTTCAATGAGACTAGTGAATTGTCATCTAAAATTGAAAATTATATTAAGGTTAAATTTGTTGACATTACAATGTAATTAAAAATGCTATCATGTTCTATGACTAAGAACGCTAAAATATATTGCAGTTACTTGCTCAGTTCTTAATAAAATAAGATTTTTGCTTTGTTTTGATAAGTTTTAAAATGTCTAGTCTAAATGTGGTAATAGAATTAGAAAAAAAAGGAATTATTATCAAATGCACTTTCAATGTTCAAGTATGTACTGAGTGTATGGACTTTGGTGATTCTAGTAGAGAATCTTCTTCAACATTTTGTGAGTGGAAGGAGTTTTGTGCCCCTTGTATTGGCTGCATCAACTCTGAATTTTGTTCTCCTTCTTCCTCTTGAGAAATTGCTGTATGTATTTGTTCTTGTTGTTCCTCACATGTAACACTGTCTCCATCAACATTGTGTAATTGTAGCTGGGTATCAGACGTGCATCTATCAACTGCACTGTTCTTCAGAGTAGACCATTGCCTATAGTCAGAGCTAGGGTCAACATCTGCCTTGTACAGTCCGTGTATCTCCAGGGGATATGAATGTTTGTAGTGAAGGCTTCATATCAGTGTATTCTTCTTGAATACTCTGCGATGAGTGTGGTTCATAATAATCTGATGTATCAGACACTGAAATGAGCAAAAGAAAATCAGTTTAACAAATCCATTTCAAGATTAGTCTTTTATAAATTTGTGTAAGATTAAATTTTGTCTGTATGTCACCCACCTTATATCAGTAGAACAAAACAACCTTATTATTTTATCACTTATTTTATAATCAGCCTTTGACTGACAGACATACATAGCCACACACATATATATGTATATGTATTATTAATATATGATGTCTGCAACATAATCAGTGAAATTTAATTTGCATAACAATTTTTAAAAGCATATTTTAGTAAATATTTCATTTGCATTCTTTATTTTTAAGTCAAATTTTGAAAATTGTCAAATATAAGCAATGTTTCTATTGATTTTATTTTTTAATTTATCATGCTTATATGGAAAGAATTCAGATCTGTCTTATCAGAATTCAGTTGTAGGTTAGCAAAAAAAAAATCAGTGTGCTTACACTGAAAATGTAAAATATAATCTTAGCTTCTAAAACTAACTTTTTTATGAATCAAACATAAAATAAATAATAATAGTAATGTCTTGCAGCATTCATAGTAACCATCGTTGTCTGCCAGTTCACATTACTACAAATTAGTCAAGTGAAGCTGTAAAATCTTTTTCAGAATTATATAAATTATAATAAGTTAAAATAATTTCTTTCATTATATTTTAAGAAATATTTAAATTATTTAAACAAGCAAAAAATCATGTTTGCTGGATACAAAGCTTAAAAAATTATTCAGATATTTCTCTCATGGTCAGCACTATGTAATGTTCAAAGTAGAAAATTCAAGAGGCTTAGTATAATGAAACAAAGAACTTCAGAAAATAGATGTCTTGCTGAAAATATTTTTTTACAAAGAACTTTGAGAGAGGTGAGAGGTTTTATATTACAGCTTTCTTATAAGATGGGTATCCAAAATTAGTATTTCATATATTTACCACTGGTTGCAATATTGTAAAAGTAAGTGTGATGTAACTTAGCATTTTGCTTAATTCACAGTATGTATCCTATAATTTTCTACATCTTTATTTTCACTCCTATGCTAAAAATATTCAGTATAAGTTCATATGCCTCTTATAAAATAGTAATGCTCACAAAGTGAACATGATACAGTATTTAGAGCTAATGACATTTAATGCCATTGAACAATATTCTTAAAAACTCTGCATTGAATTCTACCAAACTAGTCATTAACTGTACATTAGTCTAGCCATTTACTGATAATTCTATAAAAAATGTACTGCTTGAAAATAGAACCAATTCTACATCTAATACATATTCAGTTTCTTTAACTTACTTTTTGATTTTGATATATTTTGACAGTGATTTGAAGATCTTTCATCATATTGATCTTTGTCAGTATGAGAAGAACGTACTTTGTCAGGATGACAAGCAGAGGCCATATAATTTCTCTCTTCATGTCTTTTGCCACCAGTTGTGTCTCTGATTTGCTTTTATTGTATTTTTAAAAACATAAAAGAAAATTGTGTATGTTAGAAAGAAACAGACTGCATCTTCATATGATAAAACTGTCAAGCATTTTGAAGTGAGAATTTCTTTTGTATGTGCAAAAAAGAAAATGAAGAAATATATACTGAATAGAACAAATTACAAAGATGGACATTTGGAAAACAAAGTATTTAGTTATTTAAAATAGTTTAAAAAATAATGCATTTAAAAGTTATTGCTATTTAATGTTTTTGATGAGTGAGATCTTTTTAGATTTCACTCAGTTTGATGATTTTTAAAGTATTCAACTATTTAAAGCAGTTCAATAATTGCATGCAAAGTATTTAATAAAAACAAAGTAGACAGAAATATTTGAAGCTTGAATAAGGAAAAAAAAATTAAAAAATATATGCTTTCTTTTATAAACTTAGGTAAATTCTACATAGTTTTTCATGTCGCAAAGACATTCAAGTACAAGGAAGATATTAATCAGACAATAAAAAATATTCATAAAACATAGTAATCATTAAAATATCGATTAAAATTATACATTAGTGTAAATATTTAGGATACTCACTTCATAGATGACTTCAGTAGCAGTTTGTACTTTTATTCCAAGGGCTGAACTTCTACGTCCATCATCCAAAACATCTGCACAATGTTGGGGCCTTCTGCCTCTGCCCGGTAGAGTTCTACAAAGCACATCTTGTTCTGCTCGTACAGCAACAGACACACCAGACCAATAAGTAGTCTGGTAAGATGGATGCATTGGATGTGCCTGATCAGGATAATATTTGCTGGAAGCAGCAGCCAATGGATGTGCATGTGCAACACTTCTGGTATCAATGCAACGAAGGATGCAGATGGAAATGGCAGCAGTAATTGGGATAGCAACGGTGACTGCAACCAACACAATGACAATCAGTAAATACTGGTGGATCTTAATATCAGTATGCATATGTGCAGCATTTAACATGTCTGCCGTATTGTTACTGACTGCCAATGTCAAAATCACTGACTTCTTTGAAGACAAAACGGGACTACCACTATCCTTGACCATAAACTGCAGGCGATAGGAGCCAGCATCTTGATGGCTAAGTAAGCGACTGAAAGATAACAATCCAGTATAATGATTGATGGCAAACAACTGTTTATCATTGCCTTTAGTTATTTCATATTTGAGAAATGCATTCTCTTGACTGTCACTATCGGCAGCCTTGAGAAGCGTGATATTCTTTGTATGATATTTCACATCCAGATTGTAAGGATTAACACTAGGAAATGTAAAATATGGAGCATTATCATTTTTATCTTCAATCTCCACAATCACATTGACCGTATTATCAAGTGGAGGGCTTCCGTTATCTTTCACTAAAACCTTGAATTTATAAATGTCTTTGAACTCATGGTCAAGAGACATGATTGTAGAAATCAAACCATCACTGGTGATCTTGAAAGGTAAGAAATCTTCATTTTTGGTGAGCAAGGAATATGTGAGTCTACTGCCAGCTCCAAGATCAGGATCAGTGGCATTGATAGAACCAACTGGTGTTTTTGGATGTTCATTCTCAAATACAGAGAATTTAAAAGTATCTTTTGCAAATTGTGGCCGTACATCATTGACATCTTTCACTTTGATGGAGAATTTGCTATCACTGTGTTGCGGAGGAGATCCTTCATCTTTGCAGCTAATTGTAACATCATGGTGATCTTGCATTTCTCTGTCAACTTTGTGCTTCAATGTCACTTTGTATTCTTTTGATCGTAGTTTCTGCAATCGGAATTTATCATGGTGCAATTCACAGTTCACTTCTCCATTTTGTCCAGCATCAGGGTCTGTCACTTTGACATAAGCAATAAAACTTTCTACTGCAGCCCCCTCTGAAATGGCTGCTGTGTTGTCTGCTGATTCAGACATGAAAGTAACACAATATATTTGGTGCTCTGTTCTGTCTGTCAGTAGTATTAATTAAAACTGTAACAAATCCTCTTAAAAACTGATGACCTCCATTTGTTGCTTCTACTAATAATTTATAATTGGGGTTTTGATTAGTGGGTAAGTTTTGCTGTAAAAATATATATCCTATCATTTTATTTAGTGCAAATAAACTGTTGACATCTGTTGATGTTTCAGGACCAAAATCATATGCAATCTTTCCATTCTCTTTGTCCGAGTGTGTTGCAGAAACTACTACAATTACTGTGTCACCATACTGCTTATTTTCAATAGAAATAATTGTAAATGTCCTTTGTAAATATTGGTGTGTTGTCATTAAGATCTGTTACTTTTATAAGAATTAATAATTTGCTTTCCTTTGATGGGGATCCTCCATCTTTAGCAACCACTTGTATCCTGTAAGTGTTTTTATTTTTTCAGTGTAGTTTTTCTTCTGCCACAATTCTTAACTTTGGTGCTTCAAATGGTCTTTTATATACTTTCAGAGAGAAACGTTCACTATTATCCTTTTGTAGTTCATAGGTTATCTTGGAATTAACAGATCCAACATCTTTGTCAATAGCATTTGGAATTGAGTTTTTAAAAACTTTACTGACCCCACCTCCTAAGAATTCAATGTTGATCTGCTTATGTGGAAATTCTGGCTGATTATTATTGACATCATTAGCTATTATTTTTATTTTTATAATTTTCATAAAAGTCTCTCCTTGTCACACAGCTACATCAACCATTTGGAAACATTCTGTGTTGTATGTACAGAGATTCAGCATCCAGGGTCTGAGTTGCAAAGTGTCCCTTTCATCTTGGAGATGTGAAACAAGTGAGAGACTCCAGTTGTGCTCTGTTGCAGGTGATTGATTGTGGCTAGATGTCACTCTTCATGAGGGATAGATTCCATAATATGCAAATCAGCAGCAATATCTCCAAGGTAGGTACCAGGACTCTTGCCTTCTTCTATTGTATAAGTTAAGTCTGCACACAGACATATGTGTAACATTGACAAAATTGTACACATAAGTAAAAACATAACTATATTTGCATAGTATAATTAAATATTTAAAAAAGTAATTTTCCTAGTGGCAATGTTTTTCAGGCTATTCTGAAATAAGAGAAAAAAAAAAAGAAATAAGTATAAATTCGAGAAAAGGCAGATTTTTTTTTTTAATTTCACTAAACATCATTCCTGCTTTAGTAAATCACTTTCCAATTTGTGTTATGAATATATTTTAAGAATATCACTTGAAAGGTTTTACTTTAGTTTTCATATTCATTTTGCTAAAATAAAAAAAAAATCAGCGTTTCATAAATATTCGAATATGTGTGTAAAAAAAATAATTTATGATACCAGTGTAATAAGATGAAATTTAATTTTTGAATTTGTTAAATTTGAATATAATCTTCTACAGAATGATGATTGGAGAGTTATTCCCCTTCCGTTTTCTCTGGCCTTTAATTTCTAGACTGTCCGCTTGATAATGTCTCTTAATAGAAAATTTACAAAATTTAGTAAATTTGTTTGGCAAGTAATTAACACAATAATGCAGTCACAAATATACATTACTACCCTATAAAATATAAATCTTTCAGGAATTCAAAGATAAGAACTGTACTTTTGTTAAAAATGATGTACATTTGAAGAAACAAGATCATAACACAGCTTATTGAATTCAGTGGTCTGCTGAGAAGCAACAATAAACTCTGAAATACAAGCTCTTGTTCTTAGTATCTATGTAATCTGAAACTTTCAGTAACTCCTTTTAAAATTAGATATTTTTTTAAATGCTTTATTTGTAATAGCTCTTTTTTTTTTCACAATCAATGCTGGAGGCTTTCTCTTGAAGGCTTAATTTCTGATGATTTATTCAAAATTTAACAATACTCTGACAACTTAGAGATAACTGAAATTCCAAAAATATAAAATAATGATTCAGACTAAAGATAGTTACTGGAACTTAAAAATAATACATATAATTTGTAACAAATGTGAATGGAAAATTAATTCAGTGTTTAAAAGCTGAGTCGGTTAAATGTCCTTTATAAAAGAAACATTATTAAGTTCTAGATGTACAACAGAAACATTAATTACTTTATTGTTAAAATAGAAAAAACATACTGTAATCACTAAAACTGCATCCCATCCCAAGTATTCAAATATTTTTAAGAAGGCTAGAATTTATCCTACAGCTATTTTTACTTAATGTCATGAAATGTAGGAATTATTGAAAATTATTTTATATTTTGCTTTTGATAAATTTGTTAATTTTACTACAAATATAACAAAATGTTAATTTTATGGTAAATGATTTTATTTAAAAAAAAATTATCAAATCATCTACTGTAGGACACTTGAAAGCATAAAAACTAAAGTTTGTTGATTGTGAAAGTGTTAGAGGTTTAATTAATCTGACTTTATTAAAATGAACATAGTAGCTGCTTACATTTTACATGGGTTCCTTAACCAGTTTAGAAATGTATATATCACAAAGTAAACAATAATTAAGTACATTTAAGGAAATCAACATAATATTTTATAAATAGTTCAAAAGTGATATTTTTATTATCAAAGAAATTTTTTTTTTTAATTAAACTCAAATCTATAACTTAATTCTGTAAGATTTTATTTGAATTATTGCATTTTTTTTTATCTTGGAAAAAGTTATACATACGCTTTTATATCAACTTCAATATTTTACAGTTTTCTTTTTATGGGATTTTGTTAATTTTTAATATAGTTAATTTTAATTATATTTTAGTAGTAATTCTATCAATAAATATCAAAGTTTCATGTTTCTAGGGCTTTAGAAAAAATTGAAAGAAAAAGAAAATCATTACATAAATAAAATCTACAAAGTCACATCATAAAAACAAAGATGTCATTAGAGTATTTGAGTTTTCCCTGATTATTACGACAGGCATCACTTAAAAAAAAACTTTCAACCAATAAATCTGCTGTCACATTAATCAATTCAATATGAGTAACATTTCCTAAACTTAAACCATTTTAATGCACTTATTTGGGTTTTAATGCAATGATTATTTGTGAATTCTGAAAGAAATATATCTTGCTTCAGAAATGATTCTTGCTAGACGTTTCCATAAAAAATGTAAATATATTTTTCATATTCAAATAAATGAGTAATAAACATAAAACATAGTCATAAAGGCTGAATGTTTTATAAGAAAGATCAATTCCACTTGAAACTACAGCACAACATTATATCCACAATAGCAAATGATTAAATTTATCACCATGTGCTTAATAACATGACAATTCTGCATGTTTTTTCATGAATCATAGAATAATACAAGCTGAAAAAAAAAAAATAAGCTATTGTCAAGATATGGATGAAAGGAATCATTTGCATTGTCAGCATTTGGAAAGAGGCATTAAATAGGAATAAATTACACACATAACTTTCATGGTTATTTATTAATCCACGATTTAACAGATCATGAAAATCTGGAACTACTTTAATGACTCAAAGATTCAGGCTGACTGGCTAAGTTTCAGAATATACTTGGCAAAGATTGCTTTAAAAAATTAAATTTCAGTTACATATTCAAAGATCATATGAATATAGAATGTAAGGAAAAAGGAATAAAGAAAACTCATAACTTACCTGCAATTTTGTATTACCAAGAAAACTTATTGGAAATAAGACAAGAGATATGTGAAAGCATTCTCACACAAAGCTCTGCTACAATCGCTGTTGTCCTCTCACAACAAAGTGGTTTCTCTGTGTGTGTGTGTGTGTGTGTGTGTGTGTGTGCGTGCGTGTGAGTGATTGCATGAATGAGAGAAAGAGGCTTACAGTTCTATTAAGTGCGCCATATACAGAATGGCTGCCCAAGCCACAATCAGGAAAATGAAGGCAAAATAGCTTGCAGGAGAAAATTAGAGCGCTTTTCAACCTATCAGGTTTAATGTTTTTCTTTTTGTTGAATATTGTAATATTTCATATGGTAGCAGTTATCACGTTAGCAGATATTTCTTTTGCAATATAGAAAATAATATATACAAAATTTTAGAAAGAAAAGTTCAATTAATGAGTATGGCTGATGAGTATCAATATTTTATATTGCACACTTTTACAGGATGTTTTCTTTACATTGTAAACATTCAAGTAAAAAATAGATTGATCTTGTATAATAATTCAACTGAAATTAAGGTTGCCATAAAGGAAAATGCCATGTGAAGAGAAAAGCCATTAAAAAAATGGTACAAAAAAACTTGGAATTATCAGAATTACATGATGCTAGAAAATTAATCTTTATCTCAACTGTAAAACTAGGTGAAAATATATAGATCACTGGATAAGTTTTAGGATATTGTTCTCTTCAAGGTAAGTCTTTTCTTTTATTTGTTTTACGTATTTCAATGAGACTAGTGAATTGTCATCTAAAATTGAAAATTATATTAAGGTTAAATTTGTTGACATTACAATGTAATTAAAAATGCTATCATGTTCTATGACTAAGAACGCTAAAATATATTGCAGTTACTTGCTCAGTTCTTAATAAAATAAGATTTTTGCTTTGTTTTGATAAGTTTTAAAATGTCTAGTCTAAATGTGGTAATAGAATTAGAAAAAAAAGGAATTATTATCAAATGCACTTTCAATGTTCAAGTATGTACTGAGTGTATGGACTTTGGTGATTCTAGTAGAGAATCTTCTTCAACATTTTGTGAGTGGAAGGAGTTTTGTGCCCCTTGTATTGGCTGCATCAACTCTGAATTTTGTTCTCCTTCTTCCTCTTGAGAAATTGCTGTATGTATTTGTTCTTGTTGTTCCTCACATGTAACACTGTCTCCATCAACATTGTGTAATTGTAGCTGGGTATCAGAAGTGCATCTATCAACTGTACTATTTTTCAGAGTAGACCATTGCCTATAATCAGAGCTAGGGTTAGCATCTGCCTTATACAGCCGTCTTGGTACAGTCCTTGTATCTCCAGGGGATATGAATGTTTGTAGTGAAGGCTTCATATCAGTGTATTCTTCTTGAATACTCTGCAATGAGTGTGGTTCATAATAATCTGATGTATCAGACACTGAAATGAGCAAAAGAAAATCAGTTTAACAAATCCATTTCAAGATTAGTCTTTTATAAATTTGTGTAAGATTAAATTTTGTCTGTATGTCACCCACCTTATATATCAGTAGAACAAAACAACCTTATCATTTTATCACTTTCTTATTTTATAATCAGCCTTTGACATATATATGATACTTCCACAGAAAACTCGATACATAAGGTTTAAAATGAATTTTTAGAAATTAAAAATCTTTCTTGAAGCTGTTATTTTAGTTTTAATTTCAAGCTAATAGATTTAATTTAATATTTCCAATAACCAATATACTTTACTGTATTTCAAAAACTAATTTAAATTGACTGGAAGGAGTTTTTTTTTTTGTGTTTTTTTTTTTTTTTTTGCTAAAATAGCTGATTAGTGATCCCTTTTAGTCATCTTTCATCAAAATGTAATTCTCTTTATTAAAAAATCTTCCAAAAATATACTTTTCTAAAACTTTATTTGAGGAATATTAGCTGATTTAAAGCATAATTAATCTAATTTGAAACAAATATTATTTACTTTAAGCTTAAAATATTGCAGAAATACGTTTATTTTATTTTTTTAACACCACAGTAATATTTTATTTAAACTGTTTACATTTTCAGCAGATTAATGTTCATCTAGTGTTGTAAGGTGCTTTAGCCATAAAAAATAATTGAATATATCAGGAGTGCATTTTTATATATAATTTTTAAGTACCCAGCAATATTCTCTGTAATCTAATGTTTTATTGAATTTTATATACTTTCTGGCTTTAAATCTCATAGTTATTGGTTTTATTTTCTGATAATATCATGGATGATTATCCATATCATCCATATCTACAAAAATCAGCATGTTTATATACATACAAAAAAATCAAAATTCTCTTAAAAATATTGGTGTTTGATGATTTGTATTAAGCTTTTCCATTTATAATTAATAAATATATGTTTTTAATAATATTATCTAAATGGGTGAAAATAATACAGAATTTTAAAAGATTTAAAACTTAATGAATTTTTCTTATTAAAATTTTAAAAATCAATTCTTGTAAAAATTCATTATTGATTGAAAAAAATAGTGTCTTTAATATATGGTATTTATAAAAGCAATTAAAAGCTTTTCTAATTAAATAATGTTATAGATTTATCTTTACAATTCAGAGCAAATTTTCAGTAAATGGTGTTTCTGTTTTACAAAAACAAATTCTTGATTTAAATTCTGAAGTTGGTTAAATTTAAATTTATAATATTTCATAAAAATAAGTTGGGGTAATATGTAAAAATTTAAAAACATATTTTGACTAAGATTTTCGTAACAGAAAAAATTCAAAAATAATTTCATTCATTTGTGAATAGGTGCTGAAAATTTGATTAAAATCAAACAGTTATATGATTTTTGTAAGAATTTCCAAAACAATGTTTTTTACCACAAAAAGATGCTAAATTTACATATTAATCTTTTTTTTTTAAATTGTTATATATAAGTGTTGGGTATGATACACCTAATTTACATAAGCGGACTACCGACCATATAAATATGGGTTGGTACCGGAAGACGGGGAAGATAGTAGAGATTAAGAAATTGAATCCAGAGACTCTGCCCGACTGCGATTTAGTCAACCCATTATGCAGGAACAGTCTTCCCAAGAATATACCAAACTAACTGTAAATATTGTGTACCTATTCTTTGTTTCAATACATTTTGTTAACGTACATTTTGTGTTGTATTATTCCATGCTTATTTAAGCTTCAACAATAAGCAACGTTTCTTTTTTTAGTTTATGTATGGAAAAAATTTATATCTGCCTTATCATAATTCAGTTGTAAATTAGCAGAAAAAATATCACAAATAAGTCAAAATTATTTGTTCCATTACATCTTAAAACAGTATCAAATCATTTAAACAAGTGAAAAGTAATAAGTTTGATGGATTCATTTTTATTATTATTATTAATACAAACCTTAGAAAATTATTCAGATATCTTTCTCATGGTCAGCTCTATGGAGCTATGTCCATAGTAAGAAATTCAAATGGACTTAGAATAATGAAACAAAGAACTTCATAAAAGACATGTCTTATTGAAAATGATTTTATAAAGAAAATTTTAGAGAAGTGAGAGGTTTTATATTATAGCTTACTTGTCTCTGTCTATAAAGTGGTGGGTAGTTAAAATTAATCTTACATATCATGTTTACCAATAGTTGTAATATTGTAACAATAAATGTAAAGTTAACTTACTCGGCACATTTTGACAATGATTTGCATATCTTTCAGCATAGGGATCTTCTTTGTCCGGCTGAGAAGAACCCATGTCAGGGTGACAGGCAGATGCCATACAGTTTCTGTCTTCATGTCTCTTACCACCTGTTGCACCTCGGATTTCCTTTCAACAAGAAAGACATAGAAGCAGTAGTAGAATTAATTAATTTTAACAAAACCTCAAGGAGATAAATAAATGCTAGTCATCTTTTGTAAAAGTTAAAAAAAAAAAAAATTATTTCTTACCTCATAGATGACTTCAGTAGCAGTTTGTACTTTTATTCCAAGGGCTGAACTTCTACGTCCATCATCCAAAACATCTGCACAATGTTGGGGCCTTCTGCCTCTGCCCGGTAGAGTTCTACAAAGCACATCTTGTTCTGCTCGTACAGCAACAGACACACCAGACCAATAAGTAGTCTGGTAAGATGGATGCATTGGATGTGCCTGATCAGGATAATATTTGCTGGAAGCGGCAGCCAATGGATGTGCATGTGCAACACTTCTGGTATCAATGCAACGAAGGATGCAGATGGAAATGGCAGCAGTAATTGGGATATCAACGTTGACTGCAACCAACACAATGACAATCAGTAAATACTGGTGGATCTTGATATCAGTATGCATATGTGCAGCATTTAACATATCTGCCATATTGTTACTAACTGCCAATGTCAAAAACACTGACGTCTTTGCAGCCAAAACTGGACTACCACTATCCTTGACCATAAACTGCAGATGATAGGAGCCAGCATCTTGATGGCTAAGTAAGCGACTGAAAGATAACAATCCAGTATAATGATTGATGGCAAACAACTGTTTATCGTTGCCTGCAGTTATTTCATATTTGAGAAATGCATTCTCTTGACTGTCACTATCGGCAGCCTTGAGAAGCGTGATATTCTTTGTATGATGGGGATGATATTTCACATCCAGATTGTAAGGATTAACACTGGGAAATGTGAAATATGGACTATTATCATTTTTATCTTCAATCTCCACAATCACATTGACCGTATTATCAAGTGGAGGGCTTCCATTATCTTTCACTAAAACCTTGAATTTATAAATGTTTTTGAACTCATGGTCAAGAGACATGATTGTAGAAATCAAACCATCACTGGTGATCTTGAAAGGTAAGAAATCTTCATTTTGGTGAGCAAGGAATATGTGAGTCTACTGCCAGCTCCAAGATCAGGATCAGTGGCATTGATAGAACCAACTGGTGTTTTTTGGATGTTCATTCTCAAATACAGAGAATTTAAAAGTATCTTTTGCAAATTGTGGCCGTACATCATTGACATCTTTCACTTTGATGGAGAATTTGCTATCACTGTGTTGCGGAGGAGATCCTTCATCTTTGCAGCTAATTGTAACATCATGGTGATCTTGCATTTCTCTGTCAACTTTGTGCTTCAATGTCACTTTGTATTCTTTTGATCTCAGTTTCTGCAATCGGAATTTATCATGGTGCAACTCGCAGTTCACTTCTCCATTTTGTCCAGCATCAGGGTCTGTCACTTTGACATAAGCAATAAAACTTCCCACCTCAATGTCTTCAGAGATGGTCTCTGTGTTGTCTGTTGATTCAGACATGAATATCACAAAGATGTTGGGTGGTCTGTTCTGTGTATTTACCACATTTACCAGAACCCCAGCTAAACTACTTAATGGTGAAACACCTCCATCTACAGCTCCTACAAAAAGTTTATATAATGGTTTTGGATTGGGGGGTAACATCTGCTTTAAATATATTTTTCCTGTCCTTTTATTCAACTGAAAGTAATTTCTGATTTCTTCTGATGTTTGTGTTCTGAAATGGTAAGTAACTTGTCCATTTGTTCCAGCATCCATATCACTTGCAGACACTGTAACAATAGGTACATTACCATATTCTTTATTCTTGATGGAAACATTGTAAATATTCTGAGTAAATACAGGGGCATTATCATTGAAATCTTCAACTATTATATGAATATTCAAAACATTTTGTTTGGGTGGAGTGCCTCCATCTTTTGCAATTACTTGTATCATATATGAGTCTTTGTCTTCTCTATCAAGTTTACCATCAACTGAAATACTGAGTTCTGGTGGGCCAAATGGTATTCTTTGAATTGCCAGTGCGAATGGTTCATTTTTATTCTTTTTTAATTGATAAGTAATTTGTGAGTTGGAAAGACTAACATCTACATCTATAGCATTAGGAAATAGACTTTTTAAATCCTTCCCTTACTTCCTCTGAGAAATGTATATTTATCTCTTTATCAGGAAATTCTGGAGAATTATCATTGACATCATTTATAATTATTTTAATTTTTATAATCTTCATGAAAGTCTTTCCTTGTCGTACAGCCACATCAACCATTTGGAAACATTCTGTATTATAGGTACAAAGGGACTCAGCATCCAGTGTCTGAGCAGTGAAAAGTTTTCCTTTCTTCTGGGAGACATGGAATAATTGGGAAGTGCCTGCCATTCCTTGACGGAGTTGGTTGAATGTAATCATACGTCTGTTTTCCAGTGAAACATCATCCATGATGTGGGAATCAGCTGCAATATCTCCCAGGTATGTACCTGGACTTTTCCTTCATCTATGCTGTATGATAAATCAGCACTGAAGCATGGATAGAAGATTAGAAGTATTTGGTATCCGACTGTCCACAGAACAATATTCAAAATATTATTGTTCATTGTTCTCCCAGTAATGTGTTGTTCAAGTTAACTGAAATTAACAACAGCAATCATATTCAGAAATTTAAATATAAAAATGGTCTCTATATTTTTGACTTGTTTTTATGTCTAATTTTTACCATATTTCCTATATGCTAAGAAATATTTTTTTCCCAGGAAATACCGTCAAAAATCACCCTTCATCTTAGCACTGAAATGTCAATTTGTAGAGTTTGCCAACCGTCATGAATCTCAGTCACAATGTACAATTAATTATGAACCCCCAAACATATAAACTTACAATTATTATATATATGGATGTTGTTCCACAAAGACAGTGACAATAAAAACAACTGATCGTGAAAAAAAACTCAATTTTCTTAAATAAAAAAAGTTAAAATTGCCTCTGTATACTAATGTACAGCATTTATAGTATTTCCTGTTGTACAAAATTAGGTAATGTTAATTACTGTAATAATACAAGTGGATTGTCAATAATATATTCATTCAGTAATAAACTGGTATAGTGCCAATGCAGTGACAACACACTGTTTACACTCTTGAATGCAACTCTAAAACATCAACTGTTTTTGTGGTGACAAGTTCTTTCTGATGTGAATAAGTATAACATTGTATTAAACTACTGAAAATCCAATTAATAAGAACACAAATATTTAATAATTGCTACAAAATGTTGTGACAGAAGGAAAATGACACCGATTTGGACTTGCTAGTACAATAATCTATTAAATCCTCAAGTATTTATTATTTATCTTATTTATCTTTTAAAAAAATACCCAGATAATTATAGGCATCTTTGCATATGGGAAATACACTATATATCTTGCAATTGTTTTTTTTTTAGGTGTTGTTTATCAAACTACCACATGTAAAAAATCTTTATTTTTTTCTTTAAAAAATAATTGACACAGAAGTTCAAACAATTTAAATAATATAAACAGAAATTGTTACTCTTAAGATATTTTAAAATAGGAAGAAATAAATCGTTTCCTATTTTTACAATGTTCTCTCAACAGAAACTCTTATATAAAACTTATACATTATTTGATAAAAGTTATTTTGCAAACAACCTCATGCATTTCATGAAAAAAATAATCATATTAGAATTTTTTTTGTCCTTCTCTCATTATGTATTCATCTAAATGAGAGCTTCCCAACATGTGCAATGTGAGTAATTTCAATTGTTGGGTGGGTGATGAGCACCTGAACTGAAAATGGTGGGTGATGGGAAATTTTGCTGGGGAATTTCTAATTTTGAGTATTAGAAAAGTCTTTCAACCTATCTTACCCCACCCCCACCACAAATGCTTGGAAAGAACCTGTATAATAAATAAAAAAAAACAGGTGGTTAATTGGGAATAACTGGGTCCCATTTCTACATGAAATATGAATATACCTGCAATTAATAAATATTTTGGTACTTTCTCGATTCACGAATGGTCATTAACATTGAAGTTGTTCTTCAGGCAAAATTACTTTTCTTTTTTTTTTTAAATAAGGGATGACCTAGAACAAAAAAACTATTGGCTGAATTTTTATTTGTTGCTAGTATAACATATTTTTTTTTAGTTTTATAATTATAAACAAAAAACATTTAATTTCTTTTTAACACTTGCAACACTAACCCTGACCATAAAACTAACCTTAAGAGATAAGTTCTCAATGGTCAAGTTTGCTTTCTTTAATTCAATAGTAGCAACAGCTGCATATTAGCATTATTTGTTACCTCTCTTTGGTATCTTTTTATGAAGAAAGACAAAGTTTATTAAGCACTACAAGAGACGGGAAGTTGTGGAAAGCCATGATCACCTATGTCCTGAGTGGGGACAACACATAAAGATCATCAAACTTTTACCAAACAATTTTTCCCAAAAAGGTGGGTGGGGGGAACTTTTCCCATTTGAAAGTGGGCAATGATGTGAAAAACATTGCGAACCCTTGATCTAAATTTTTCAAATGCAATGCAAAGAATTCTGATAGAATTTAGGATGCCTTCTGATGCCTAAGTATATACCTATAAATTAAAATATAGTAAGAATATAACTATTTGAATATTTTTTAAATATTATTTGCGGATAAAAATATTAAATTTGAAAAGTATGAAATATATTTACCAAATTACTGTTGGTGTATAAAAAAAAAAGGTTCTGAATTCAGAATAAAAACTGGATATCAAATGAGTTTGCCAAATTGGTATGAGAAAAAGGAAAAGAATATTGTAATTTAGAGAAAGTATTACTGATTTAATGAAAGTACCATTCTTTGAAATGATTATTTCATTTATTTTGTATTGATGTATTCAGAAATTATATAAAATTAATCAAATAGAAATTGAGAGCATAAATATTTATCATGTTAATCAATGGGCATTTATAAAGGGAGTGGTATACTTAAAATGTTCTTTATCATGTTAGAGTTAACTAAATATTTAATAATCTAACCATGATGTCGTTTGTGTGTGTGCATGTGTGCACATGTTTCGGTGCACCTGGGGTCTGCTGTTCAAATTCATTGTGCATTGCACAGTGGCAAGAAATATCAATAAATTAAAATATTCAAAAAATCATGTCAATTAAAAAATAAAATCCTAAAAAGAAGTTGAGAAAACTAAGTAATCAGTACACAATTAATAGTTTGTACAGGAAATATTGCACCCAAACAAAGAGACTAAATGCACATTAATAAATGCGTTGCAGATGTTAAAATTTTTCATCAGAAAAACATGCAAAAGTGGATATTTCATATTTTGCAGCAAGTTTTTGATATATTAAATTTTCTGTTTTGGAAAAACTCATCCAAGTAATAAATTAGATATTTAATTTCTAAAACTACATAGTTATAGATATAGAATCTAAATTCTTTTTGAATATTATATATGTTGATTTTTTTTCTTGTACATCTTATCCACATTATATTGCCACATTCAGTTGTGTTTAGAAAAAAAGCAACATGAATAATATTTGCATTTAATGATTTATGCAAAGGTAATTTAAAGGAAACATTATTTTCATATGATAAATGTCCATCAATATTAAGTGTGAACAAAAGGAAGATGATGGCATGAATCAGGCATTTTGTGTATTGATTGTATGAACAAATTAAAGGTTTCTTAATTTTCTAAACAAGAAAAACAAATAAAGCTTTTCTGGTTTGACTTTGCTCTTTTGGCATAGTGCAAAACAACTTCCCATAAAAATGAATGAAAGAGAGTAGATTAAAATGAATGACAAAAGACAAATGGAAAAATTAGAATGTCAACTGACCTGCAATGTTGTACGAATGAACCATGGATTTATGATGAGACAAAATGGGTGTATCCTGGTGTACAGTCTTATGATACTGCTGCTACTATTATATGAACACAATGTCAGCTTTCTCTTGGCACACCCATATACATGTGTATGTTACAAACTATGTGTATGTTTATCTGTGGATGTGGGTTAGTCTACATATATGGGAGAGAAAGAAAGCAAGCTATAGTCCTATTATGTCTGCTCTATGCATCATGGCGGCTAGAGTCACTGATTCTGACAAAGCAAAAATTCCATCATAAACTAAAAGGCAAGTATTTTCCTCTCACAAATGCAAACTAAACATATTCTTTATTAGATATCTGATTTATTTTTCTTGGGTAAAAATATGCAAATTATTAGTTAGAAGAAAATTAAAATGAAAGACTATATAATGAGGATAATCATTAGGAAATGCAGTTCTTAACTAATAAAGTTTCTTTTGTGTTTTATCTTTGTAATTCATTATTTTATTTTCATTGCTATCATATTGACTTGATTGAAAGGGAATTATAAGATATGTAGAATTTTGATTTCACAAAAGACCAGAAAGAAAATAACAAGTGAAATAAGTTTCATTCTTCAATATTTCAAGGATTATCAAATATACAGGGTGTAAAAGAATACGCCAAAATCATCACGTGATATGTCAAAAACGAAAGAAATTACAAACCTCTAGCATGAACACGTGTTATATATACATTCAAGTTTCATTTCATGTTTTATAAGTGCTCAATGTGGCCACCACCGGCAGCGCAGACAACATCAAGCCGATATGAGAATTCCTCCCAAATGCGCCTCAGCATGTCACGATCAACAGTGTTGATTGCAGCTGTTATTCGATCTTTCAATCATCGATACTTGCTGGGAGTGCTGGAACATAAACTTGGTCTTTAACATACCCCCACAAGAAAAAGTCACACACAGTGAGGTCCGGAGATCTGGTAGGCCAAGCACAGAGAGTAAGATCTTTAGCACCTCTCCTCCCAAACTATCGCTGAGGCACGTTTTCATTCAGATAAGCTCTAACCCCGAGATGCCAATGGGGTGGTGCTCCATCTTGCTGAAAAATTCGAATCTGCTTGCAGTAAAGTGAATAGCCATTTTTGGAACATTTCGAGATAGGTTTGTCCTGTTTGTAGCTGCACCGGAAGTTATACTAACGACATCGGTGAAACTGACACCCAATCAAACTTTGATAACTACTCTATCAAATAACCACTGATTCAGTCCACTACAATGCTATAGACCTGAAAAAGAGCGTAATGATTTTGGCGTATTCTTTTTGAAACACCCTGTATTTCATATAGTAAAGATTTTTTTTTTTTTTTTTTTTACTGTTTTTAACAACTTCATAATTATTATAGTTGCCATAATTGAAACAATGTGATTGGAAAACTTTCACTGGAGAAATATCAATGCTGTATGGACTCCATCTATAGATTATCTTTTAAATCCTATTTCATGAAATTTACTTAGAAAATTATCTACTACTCTATTTGCATGATTATTTAATTGGGAAGGATTTGTTTATAAATATTAATTACAAATTTACTTTAATGATCTTAGCTAGTTTTCTATGGTCATGTGTGAACTGAGTGACTAGATTTTGGTGATTCAAGTAAAGAATCATGATCGACCTTTTGTGAATATGAAATGTTTTGTGTTTCTTCAATTGCTTGCATCAAAAGAGAACCACCTTCTTCTTCCTCTCTCTGAGTAGGTTCTTCTCTTACTGTTTCTGTTTGTTCTTGTTGGGCCTCACATGTAACACTATCTGCATCAACATTGTGTAATTGTAGCTGTGTATCAGAAGTGCATCTATCAACTGTACTATTTTTCAGAGTAGACCACTGCCTATAATCAGAGCTAGGGTTAGCATCTGCCTTATACAGCCGTCTTGGTACAGTCCTTGTATCTCCAGGGGACATGAACGTCTGTAGTGATGGCTTCATATCTGTGTATTCCTCTTGGATACTCTGCGATGAGTGTGGTTCATAATAATCTGACGTATCAGAAACTGAAAAGAGCAAAAATAAAAAAAAGTTAAGTTATAAAGTAAATATTAAATATTAATCCCTATTTAATTTTTATTGTAATATAAATACAATTTAAAAATTGGTATATTTCCCACTTACCAGACACATTTTGACAGTGATTTGCATATCTTTCAGCATAAGGATCTTCTTTGTCAGGGTGAGAAGAAGATTCCATGTCAGGGTGACAAGTAGGTGCCATACAGTTTCTGTCTTCATGTCTCTTACCACCAGTTGCACCTCGGATTTCCTTTCATCACAGAAAAACATAAATAGTAATAAAATGAATAATTCTTAATAGACATGTAGTTATTTTTATGAGCAATAGACATGAAGCATATGTTGGCCCTCTCTAATTTTGAGAAGCATTCAATTCAGAAAAATACTCTGAATTCAAAACTCTGGCAAAGGCAACAGGAAATGAATTTATTATCTTTTGTAGGAATCCATAGATAATAAAGTATTGGAATCTTTGGAATCCCATGAAAAGATATGGCATTTAAAAATAATAAATTCTTGAGTTAAAAAATTATTAAAATCTAGTAATGCCTTTTCATATTTCTTTTGTTTCAGAATAAAATATAATCATTAAAATTAACGTTGTCTTAATGTTTCTACCATCAGTTGCATCTGAGATTTCCTTTCAACAAAGTAAGACATACAAATAGAAGTAAAATTAATAATTCTTAATAAAGGTTATATCAGCAAAAATGTTGAATAGATATGGATTAATTTCTATATTATGAAAATTATAGCAACGGAAAAATAAAATTGCATACTTACCTCATAGATGACTTCAGTAGCAGTTTGTACTTTTATTCCAAGGGCTGAACTTCTACGTCCATCATCCAAAACATCTGCACAATGTTGGGGCCTTCTGCCTCTGCCCGGTAGAGTTCTACAAAGCACATCTTGTTCTGCTCGTACAGCAACAGACACACCAGACCAATAAGTAGTCTGGTAAGATGGATGCATTGGATGTGCCTGATCAGGATAATATTTGCTGGAAGCGGCAGCCAATGGATGTGCATGTGCAACACTTCTGGTATCAATGCAACGAAGGATGCAGATGGAAATGGCAGCAGTAATTGGGATAGCAACGGTGACTGCAACCAACACAATGACAATCAGTAAATACTGGTGGATCTTGATATCAGTATGCATATGTGCAGCATTTAACATGTCTGCTGTATTGTTACTAACTGCCAATGTCAAAAACACTGACGTCTTTGCAGACAAAACAGGACTACCACTATCCTTGACCATAAACTGCAGATGATAGGAGCCAGCATCTTGATGGCTAAATGGCGACTGAAAGATAACAATCCAGTATAATGATTGATGGCAAACAACTGTTTATCATTGCCTTCAGTTATTTCATATTTGAGAAATGCATTCTCTTGACTGTCACTATCAGCAGCCTTGAGAAGCGTGATATTCTTTGTATGATGGGGATGATATTTTACATCCAGATTGTAAGGATTAACACTGGGAAATGTAAAATATGGAGCATTATCATTTTTATCTTCAATCTCCACAATCACATTGACCGTATTATCAAGTGGAGGGCTTCCATTATCTTTTACTAAAACCTTGAATTTATAAATGTCTTTGAACTCATGGTCAAGAGACATGATTGTAGAAATCAAACCATCACTGGTGATCTTGAAAGGTAAGAAATCTTCATTTTTGGTGAGAACAGAATATGTGAGTCTACTGCCAGCTCCAAGATCAGGATCAGTGGCATTGATAGAACCAACTGGTGTTTTTGGAATTTCATTCTCAAATACAGAGAATTTAAAAGTATCTTTTGCAAATTGTGGCTGTACATCATTGACATCTTTCACTTTGATGGAGAATTTGCTATCACTGTGTTCTTGGAGGAGATCCTTCATCTTTGCAGCTAATTGTAACATCATGGTGATCTTGCATTTCTCTGTCAACTTTGTGCTTCAATGTCACTTTGTATTCTTTTGATCTTAGTTTCTGCAATCGGAATTTATCATGGTGCAATTCACAGTTCACTTCTCCATTTTGTCCAGCATCAGGATCTGTTACTTTGACATAGGCTATAAAACTACCCACCTCAATGTCTTCAGAAATGGTCGCTGTGTTGTCTGTTGATTCAGACATGAATGTTACAAAGATGTTGGGTGGTCTGTTCTGTGTATTTACAAAATTCACAAGAACTCCAACAAAACTGCTTAATGGTGAAACACCTCCATCTACAGCTGTTACAAAAAGTTTATATAATGACTTTGGATTGGGAGGTAAAATCTGCTTTAAATATATTTTTCCTGTCTTTTTATCCAACTGAAAGTAATTTCTAATTTCTTCCGACGTTTGAGTTCTGAAATGGTAAGTAACTTGTCCATTTGTTCCAGCATCCATATCACTTGCAGACACTGTAACAATAGGTACATTACCATATTCTTTATTCTTGATGGAAACATTGTAAATATTCTGAGTAAATACAGGGGCATTATCATTGAAATCTTCAACTATTATATGAATATTCAAAACATTTTGTTTGGGTGGAGTGCCTCCATCTTTTGCAATTACTTGTATCATATATGAGTCTTTATCTTCTCTATCAAGTTTACCATCAACTGAAATACTGAGTTCTGGTGGGGCAAATGGTATTCTTTGAATTGCCAGTGAGAATGGTTCATTTTTATTCTTTTTTAATTCATAAGTAATTTTTGAATTTGAAATTCCAATATCTTTATCAACAGCATTGGGAATGGCTTTTTTAAAACCTTTCCTCGCACCTTCTGAAATTTGTATACTGATTTGTTTCTCTGGAAATTCTGGAGAATTATCATTGACATCATTTATGATTATTTTGATTTTTATAATCTTCATGAAAGTCTTTCCTTGTCGTACAGCCACATCAACCATTTGGAAACATTCTGTATTATAGGTACAAAGGGACTCAGCGTCCAGTGTCTGGGCAGTGAAAAGTTTTCCTTTCTTCTGGGAGACATGGAATAATTGTGAAGTGCCTGCCATTCCTTGACGAAGTTGATTGAAGGTAATCAGGCGTCTGCTTTCTAAGGGAACATCATTCATGATGTGGGAATCAGCAGTAATGTCCCCCAGGTATGTACCTGGACTTTTTCCTTCGTCTACATTGTATGTCAAGTCTATCCCAAAGCATCGATGCATGACAAGGAAAACTATGTACACATTTACAAGGATGATTTTGGTTTTCATTTTTCTGCAGCTTGTTTTTATCTGAAATTCAGAGTAAATTTGTTTATAACAAAATTATAATCTTAATTCCTTTATGAATAAATTTTATACTTTTACATGCTCAATATGATTTTATGATGAACAAGCAAACATAATTTTAAAAATATTTTTCAGTATTTCATAAATAAACGTTTTTAGCAGTTTATTCATTTCTTTTACTTGTATACTTAATTATATTTGGATTTATACTACATCACAAACTCAATGTAAATTTTCTTTTCTCAAGATATAAAATATCTAAAGACATTTAAAAACAAATAAAAGAAGTGAAATCCTCTTTTCGTTGATGTTTACTAGTTTTATTGGGTCTATAAAATGTCTATATTGTTAACTGTGTAATTTTGTATGATAAAAAGGTTTTGCTAAGCAGGCTATGAAAAAGAATAAATGTTTTCACAGAAAAAAACTATATTAACAAATATGTTAATCAGACAAGCCTATTTACAACAATGTACATAACAGATGATTCTACATTTTGAATATGGGGTTGCTCTCTCTTGTTATTGTTAGTATAAATTGTCAACACAGTACAGGAAACCCTTGATTAGTTTGGCTAATGTGTACATTAAAAGATATGCACTACAGGAAAAGATGTAACATGTACCTCAAATTTTAGTCTCATTCACAGTTAATTTCTGATTTATGTACTTTTTAATTAAAATATAGGTACATATGAGAAGATACAATAAAAACGCTATGAATTAATGTTTATTAATCTGAATTTTTATGAAAAATTTATTTAGAATGGTTTGCTGTATGGTATTCTTTTGTTGTTCATATAATTGATGGTCCTGAGAAATTGCCCCTTCAAATTTTCCAAATATATAATCACTAGTATTTTAACCTGAAAATTTTATTTATAATCTTTGTAGTAAATGCATACATCTTTTATATGTTGGTACTTCTTAATAAATGTAAATTAAATCGTCCATTTTTTTTTTTTTAAACAAAATATTAGAAAGATTTCCTTTTAAGTCCTTCAAAATAAACATGAAAAAAAAAAAAAAAAATATGCAAAAAATCTAAATACAGTCAAATATTCAAATCTGTATGTATTTTTTCATTGGCTTATATTATGAAATTTATCTATGACTCTGTTTTTTTATTTTTTCACACTACAGTAATTACTTTTGATAACATAATACTTGACAAACAAAATATTTACCCATATTCCACTTTTAAATTTTAGAAAATTTATTTTTTTATTAATTACTAACTATAAAAAGAATTAATTTTCATCTACTATAGTTTTACCACATTACTTGAGTATTATGTATGAGGTAACTGAATTTTTGAATATAAAAATTTTAACATATTAATCAAACTGATTCCTGTATATGGTGGCAGGAATACTGGTAAATTGCACGAGTTCTGAAGTATTTGGGGTTTTTTTTAAATTAGAACATTGAAAAGAAAACACAAAACAAACTATTCTGTTTGAAATGACAGGTTAGAAATTTAATTTTTTTAGTTTTTACAATATATGCTAACAAGCCATCCAAAACAAAAACTCTTTCCATGATATTTTTTTAATAGTTTTATAAGAAAATATATTTATCATTAAAAATTCCAAGCACTACAAAGAAAGCAAAAAAATAAGCATCTGAAGCAGATTGTAAATATATTGTAAGACAATCTACAATCAAAAGATGAAAAGTGAAAATTTAGTTCAAGTACACAAACAATTTTATTTTCCAGTCTAATAATTTAATTCTAAACATTCTGCCTCCTGAGCATGAAAGTATTGTAAAATTGACGGGAAAATTTATGCAATTTTTTTTTCTGCAAAATCATTATTCAAGATTTATATATATTAAAAAAAAATCATTCCTTCTTAGTTACTTAAAAAGTAAAGCTAAGAACAAATAATGAAAATGCATTTAAAATCTGCTTACCTCCTAGAAAATGGTAAGTAGAATGATTTTCATTATTTTCTCAGTTTCTTTTTAAGAACTGAAGCTTAAGACCAGTATATTATCAAGTTTAATGCATTGTATTTTGTGATAGGAAGATTAATCTCTATGTCTACATACTACCCTTTACTCTGATATATAAAGTTATTTTAGAAAGTCAAATATATATATATATATATATATATATATATATATATATATATATATATATATATATATTCAGACTATATTAAATCATTTTTTAGTAAGAAAAATTATTCCAAAGTAAACAAAATGTTAAAATGTTTCATTATAAACACTAATAATTACATTGCTTGAGTATGTTCTAGGGAAAACATGTTCATGCCTCATATAATATCAAACACATAAGAAAGAAAAAACAGCAAAATGTATGATGTGAGGCAAATGATTAATTTTCAGATCAGTTTTCAAAAATTCAGTAACCATACATAACTACATAAATTGTCCAAAATCTAAAAATCTTAACAATTACATTACACACTCTATTTGTGTTCATTATGAAATGATTACATTAGATAACAATTTGTAATAGTTAAGAAAAATGTTTTAGAAGACTAACATTATGGTTATAGGTTTTACTAAAGAAAGAAGACCATACCAATTGCATGAATCAGATATTTGTGTGTGTGTGATTGTAAAAAATCATGAATGTGTTATATTGACAGAATGTTGAAATTTAGAATGTTGTAGGCAAAAACCCTACTTATGTTTGTAGTAATTTATCACTTGGTAAAATAAGCAACAATGAGTGGATAGGAGTGAAAATATATTGAAATGAAAAAATAAAGAAAACTGGAAAGATTTAAATATTAACTAACCTGCAATTTTGTATTGATGAGGCACAGATGTATGATGAAAGAAGATTCATGTATCCTGGTGTACAGCTCTGCTGCTGCTACTACTGCTGCTATTGTATGAACACAATGCTAGCCCTCTCTTTGTACACACATATACGTGTGTACATGTGGGTGTTACAAATAGTGTATTTTCATGTGTGGATGTGGGAGAGAAAGAAAACCATAGTCCTATCAAGTCTGCCTCATGCATCATGGCGGCTAGAGCCTATGATTCTAACAAAGCATAAAAATTATCATTGAGGAAATGGCAAGTATATTTTCCATTCTCACAAATGCAATGACAATATATCATTAACTTTTAATTTTAGTCTATCTTCCTTTCTAAATTATAGGGATTGGTAAAAGCAAAAACATTTATTAGCAAGTTTAATTCCAGGGTAAGCAATATTTTGTCAGAAAACTGTAGTTCTTAACTGATTCAGTACTTTTTCACATAAAATCAATTTACTTAATAGCTTAAGTGATGCATCCTATTTCAGGAGATAAATAAAGCAGGATTCAGAATTAGATAAATATAATCTGATAAAGAATTTTAAAATATATGAAAAAAAAAAAGAACTTTCTATTAAAATGGTTTTTGAATGTTTTTACAAAACAGCAGATGATCAAGGATCTGAATGAATAGAATCGGAATAAATTGCAAATCTATCATATAAAAAATGCCATTGAATTTTATTGATTCTCTTTTAAATCTATTCATAATTGAAATATCAGAAGAGCTGATGCTTATTAGAAAGATATACACATATCAAATTGATTAGAACTTCTGTTTCCTTATGCAAATTTAAATCTATACCAAAATGTAAACAATCATAGTTCAAATAATATTTTACCAATTTTTTTTTCCATATCTGTTTCATTCATAAGACTTTTTAAATAAATATTCTATGGTTGTGAAAAGTATTGTAAATTGTATAATATTTAATGATCAGTGAATTTGTTTTCATATTTTTATGGAGTGTATAGAAGTTTTTTGAACTGGCTAAACTTTGTGTTTCTTCTATAGACTCAACCAAGTTTAAGACTTGTTCATCTTGTTGTTCTACTTGGATGGGTTTTTGCTACAGTCTCGGTCTGTTCTTGTTGGGGCTCACATGTAACACTGTCTGCATCTACATTTTGTAATTGTAGCTGGGTGTCAGACGTGCATCTATCAACGGTACTATTCTTCAGGGTAGACCACTGCCTATAGTCAGAGTGAGGGTTGACATCTGCCTTGTACAATCTTCTTGGTACAGTCCTTGTATCTCCAGGGGACATGAATGTCTGTAGTGAAGGTTTCATATCTGTGTATTCCTCTTGGATACTTTGCGATGAGTGCGGTTCATAATAATCAGATGTATCAGAAACTGAAATTAGCAGAAATGAATAACAGAAACAAATTCAGAATTTATCTTTTAATATGAAGAATCATTTTCAAATCAACAATGATCAATGTAAAAAAAATCTATGATAAAATTATACATGATATACGAAATATTTTTCTAACTTACCAGAAACATTTTGACAATGATTTGCATATCTTTCAGCATAGGGATCTTCTTTGTCAAGGTGAGAAGAAGATTCCATGTCAGGGTGACAGGCAGATGCCATACAGTTTCTCTCTTCATGTCTTTTACCACCACTTGCACCTCGGATTTCCTTTTAGCAAAGAAAAGCAAACAATTGATAATGATTTTTACCGAATTTTAATTTTAATAAACATTTATGGAAATTGAAAAAGAATATTTATTTCTCCATGAATTAATTTCTATGAAAATGTGAGAAATAATAAAAGGATTTCCTACCTCATAGATGACTTCAGTAGCAGTTTGTACTTTTATTCCAAGGGCTGAACTTCTACGTCCATCATCCAAAACATCTGCACAATGTTGGGGCCTTCTGCCTCTGCCCGGTAGAGTTCTACAAAGCACATCTTGTTCTGCTCGTACAGCAACAGACACACCAGACCAATAAGTAGTCTGGTAAGACGGATGCATTGGATGTGCCTGATCAGGATAATATTTGCTGGATGCGGCAGCCAATGGATGTGCATGTGCAACACTTCTGGTATCAATGCAACGAAGGATGCAGATGGAAATGGCAGCAGTAATTGGGATAGCAACAGTGACTGCAACCAACACAATGACGATCAGTAAATACTGGTGGATCTTGATATCAGTATGCATATGTGAAGCATTTAACATATCTGCCGTATTGTTACTAACTGCCAATGTCAAAAACACCGACGTCTTTGCAGACAAAACTGGACTACCACTATCCTTGACCATAAACTTCAGATGATAGGAGCCAGCATCTTGATGGCTAAGTAAGCGACTGAAAGATAACAATCCAGTATAATGATTGATGGCAAACAACTGTTTATCATTGCCTTCAGTTATTTCATATTTGAGAAATGCATTTTCTTGACTGTCACTATCAGCAGCCTTGAGAAGTGTGATATTCTTTGTATGATGGGGATGATATTTCACATCCAGATTGTAAGGATTAACACTGGGAAATGTAAAATATGGAGCATTATCATTTTTATCTTCAATCTCCACAATCACATTGACCGTATTATCAAGTGGAGGGCTTCCATTATCTTTTGCTAAAACCTTGAATTTATAAATGTCTTTGAACTCATGGTCAAGAGACATGATTGTAGAAATCAAACCATCACTGGTGATCTTGAAAGGTAAGAAATCTTCATTTTTGGTGAGCAAGGAATATGTGAGTCTACTGCCAGCTCCAAGATCAGGATCAGTGGCATTGATAGAACCAACTGGTGTTTTTGGAATTTCATTCTCAAATACAGAGAATTTAAAAGTATCTTTTGCAAATTGTGGCTGTACATCATTGACATCTTTCACTTTGATGGAGAATTTGCTATCACTGTGTTGGAGGAGGAGATCCTTCATCTTTGCAGCTAATTGTAACATCATGGTGATCTTGCATTTCTCTGTCAACTTTGTGCTTCAATGTCACTTTGTATTCTTTTTTGATCTCAATTTCTGTAATCGGAATTTATCATGGTGCAACTCACAGTTCACTTCTCCATTTTGTCCAGCATCAGGATCTGTTACTTTGACATAGGCTATAAAACTACCCACCTCAATGTCTTCAGAAATGGTCGCTGTATTATCTGTTGATTCAGACATGAAAGTTACAAATATGTTGGGTGCTCTGTTTTGCGTATCAAGAACATTCACAAGAACTCCTGCAAAACTGCTTAGAGGTGATTCTCCTCCATCTATTGCTGTTACAAAAAGTTTATATGTTGACTTATGATTTGAATTCAACTTCTTCTGTAAATATATTTTCCCTGATACTTCATCTAGTTGAAAGTATTCCTTAGTTTCTACCGAAGTTTGTGACCTGAAATGGTATGTGACATGGCCATTTTCTTCTGCATCTAAATCACTAGCAGACACTGTGACAATTGGTATCTCTCCATATTCTTTGTTTTTGATTGAAACATTGTAAATATTCTGAGTGAATACAGGGGCATTATCATTAATATCTTTGACAGAAATGTAAACATTTAAAATACTTTGTTTGGGAGGAAAACCTCCATCTTTAGCAATTACTTGTATCATATATGAGCTTTTATCTTCCCTGTCTAATTTTCCTTTGACAGAAATACTAAGTTCAGGTGGACCAAATTGTATCTTCTGAATTTTGAGTGCAAATGCTTCATTTTTATTCTTTTTTAATTCATAAGTAATTTTTGAATTTGAAATTCCAACATCTTTATCAACAGCATTGGGGATGGCTTTTTTAAAACCTTTACTCACACCTTCTGAAATTTGTATACTGATTTGTTTCTCTGGAAATTCTGGAGAATTATCATTGACATCATTTATGATTATTTTGATTTTTATAATCTTCATGAAAGTCTTTCCTTGTCGTACAGCCACATCAACCATTTGGAAACATTCTGTATTATAGGTACAAAGGGACTCAGCGTCCAGTGTCTGGGCAGTGAAAAGTTTTCCTTTCTTCTGGGAGACATGGAATAATTGTGAAGTGCCTGCCATTCCTTGACGAAGTTGATTGAAGGTAATCAGGCGTCTGCTTTCTAAGGGAACATCATCCATGATCAGGGAATCAGCAGTAATGTCCCCCAGGTATGTACCTGGACTTTTTCCTTCGTCTACATTGTATGTCAAGTCTATCCCAAAGCATCGATGCATGACAAGGAAAACTATGTACACATTTACAAGGATGATTTTGGTTTTCATTTTTCTGCAGCTTGTTTTTATCTGAAATTCAGAGTAAATTTGTTTATAACAAAATTATAATCTTAATTCCTTTATGAATAAATTTTGTACTTTTACATGCTCAATATGATTTTATGAACAAGCTAAAATATTTGAATTTTATCTTTCAGTATTTTATAAATAAGTTTATGGCACTTCATTCATTTATCCTATATCTTTTTTTTTTATATTTGGATTTATGTTTTATCACAAACTCAGTATAAATTTCTTTTCTTTATGCATAAAATATCCAATGACATTTAAAAACAAATAAAGGAAGTGAGACGCTTTTTTTCACTGATGGTAGATGTTTTATAGAGCGATATATGTTGATTAATTTGACACTTTAATGTTCCTCACATTTCTGGCGATGATTTTAAAATATTTTCTTCAACTTTTGTAACCAGAAGCCAATATTATAATGAATTTGGCAGAAACTTTTAATAAAGCAGGTTTCCATTCATGAAAGAACATTAATGAAAAATTTTGTTTCTGGAATTAATATTTTACACATTTCAACTCATATATTATCAGCATTTAAAATTATCTCGACATTTTCAGATTTATATATTTTAAGCTTTAGTTTCAAATCTTGCAAAAGCAAAATGACTATATTGTTAATTATCTCATTTTGTATGATAAAAAGGTTTTTGCTGAAGAGGCTATGAAAAAGAAGAAATAGTTTCAGGGGAAAAAAGCAATATTAACAAATATTTTAATCAGGCAACCTATTTTCTTGTTAGTATAAATCATCAACACAGTGTATGGTGGCAGGAATGATGGCGAATTGCATGACTTTTGAAATTTGTAGGGTTTTTTTATTAAATTAAAACATTTAAAAAAAAAAAAAAAACTATTCTGTTTGATATGACAGGTTATCAACCTAATATTTTTAGTTTTTACAATGTATGCTAACAAGCCATAAAAAAGACTTTCCATGATATTTTTTTAATAGTTTTATAAGAAAATATATTTATCATTAAAAATTCCAAGCACTAGAAAGAAAGCAAAAAAGTAAGCATCTGAAGCAGATTGTAAATATATTGTAAGACAATCTACAATCAAAAGATGAAAAGTGAAAATTTAGTTCAAGTACACAAACAATTTTATTTTCCAGTCTAATAATTTAATTCTAAACATTCTGCCTCCTGAGCATGAAAGTATTGTAAAATTGATTTGAAAATTTATGCAATTTTTTTTTCTGCAAAATCATTATTCAAGATTTATATATATTAAAAAAAATCATTCCTTCTTAGTTACTTAAAAAGTAAAGCTAAGAACAAATAATGAAAATGCATTTAAAATTTGCTTACCTTCTAGAAAATGGTAAGTAGAATGATTTTCATTATTTTCTCAGTTTCTTTTTAAGAACTGAAGCTTAAGACCAGTATATTATCAAGTTTAATGCATTGTATTTTGTGATAGGAAGATTAATCTCTATGTCTACATACTACCCTTTTACTCTGATATATAAAGTTATTTTAGAAAGTCAAATTATATATATATATATATATATATATATATATATTCAGACTATATTAAATCATTTTTTAGTAAGAAAAATTATTCCAAAGTAAACAAAATGTTAAAATGTTTCATTATAAACACTAATAATTACATTGCTTGAGTATGTTCTAGGGAAAACATGTTCATGCCTCATATAATATCAAACACATAAGAAAGAATAAACAGCAGAATGTATGATGTGAGGCAAATGATTAATTTTCAGATCAGTTTTCAAAAATTCAGTAACCATACATAACTACATAATTTGTCGAAAATCTAAAAATCTTAACAATTCCATTATACAGTCTATTTGTGTTCATTATGAAATGATTACATTAGATAACAATTTGTAACAGTTAAGAAAAATGTTTTAGAAGACTAACATTATGGTTATAGGTTTTACTAAAGAAAGAAGACCATACCAATTGCATGAGTCAGATATTTTTGTGTGTGTGTTGATTGTAAAATCATGAATGTGTTATATTGACAGAATGTTGAAATTTAGAATGTTGTAGGCAAAAAACCCTACTTATGTTTGTAGTAATTTATCACTTGGTAAAATAAGCAACAATGAGTGGATAGGAGTGAAAATATATTGAAATGAAAAAATAAAGAAAACTGGAAAGATTTAAATATTAACTAACCTGCAATTTTGTATTGATGAGGCACAGATGTATGATGAAAGAAGATTCATGTATCCTGGTGTACAGCTCTGCTGCTGCTACTACTGCTGCTATTGTATGAACACAATGCTAGCCCTCTCTTTGTACACACATATACGTGTGTACATGTGGGTGTTACAAATAGTGTATTTTCATGTGTGGATGTGGGAGAAAAGAAAACCATAGTCCTATCAAGTCTGCCTCATGCATCATGGCGGCTAGAGCCTATGATTCTAACAAAGCATAAAAATTATCATTGAGGAAATGGCAAGTATATTTTCCATTCTCACAAATGCAATGACAATATATCATTAACTTTTAATTTTAGTCTATCTTCCTTTCTAAATTATAGGGATTGGTAAAAGCAAAAACATTTATTAGCAAGTTTAATTCCAGGGTAAGCAATATTTTGTCAGAAAACTGTAGTTCTTAACTGATTCAGTACTTTTTCGTTACAAATCAATTTACTTAATAGCTTAAGTGATGCATCCTATTTCAGGAGATAAATAAAGCAGGATTCAGAATTAGATAAATATAATCTGATAAAGAATTTTAAAATATATGAAAAAAAAAAAGAACTTTCTATTAAAATGGTTTTTGAATGTTTTTACAAAACAGCAGATGATCAAGGATCTGAATGAATAGAATCGGAATAAATTGCAAATCTATCATATAAAAAATGCCATTGAATTTTATTGATTCTCTTTTAAATCTATTCATAATTGAAATATCAGAAGAGCTGATGCTTATTAGAAAGATATACACATATCAAATTGATTAGAACTTCTGTTTCCTTATGCAAATTTAAATCTATACCAAAATGTAAACAATCATAGTTCAAATAATATTTTACCAATTTTTTTTTCCATATCTGTTTCATTCATAAGACTTTTTAAATAAATATTCTATGGTTGTGAAAAGTATTGTAAATTGTATAATATTTAATGATCAGTGAATTTGTTTTCATATTTTTATGGAGTGTATAGAAGTTTTTGAACTGGCTAAACTTTGTGTTTCTTCTATAGACTCAACCAAGTTTAAGACTTGTTCATCTTGTTGTTCTACTTGGATGGGTTTTGCTACAGTCTCGGTCTGTTCTTGTTGGGGCTCACATGTAACACTGTCTGCATCTACATTTTGTAATTGTAGCTGGGTGTCAGACGTGCATCTATCAACGGTACTATTCTTCAGGGTAGACCACTGCCTATAATCAGAGTGAGGGTTGACATCTGCCTTGTACAATCTTCTTGGTACAGTCCTTGTATCTCCAGGGGACATGAATGTCTGTAGTGAAGGTTTCATATCTGTGTATTCCTCTTGGATACTTTGCGATGAGTGCGGTTCATAATAATCAGATGTATCAGAAACTGAAATTAGCAGAAATGAATAACAGAAACAAAGTCAGAATTTATCTTTTAATATGAAGAATCATTTTCAAATCAACAATGATCAATGTAAAAAAAATCTATGATAAAATTATACATGATATACGAAATATTTTTTCTAACTTACCAGAAACATTTTGACAATGATTTGCATATCTTTCAGCATAGGGATCTTCTTTGTCAAGGTGAGAAGAAGATTCCATGTCAGGGTGACAGGCAGATGCCATACAGTTTCTCTCTTCATGTCTTTTACCACCACTTGCACCTCGGATTTCCTTTTAGCAAAGAAAAGCAAACAATTGATAATGATTTTTACCGAATTTTAATTTTAATAAACATTTATGGAAATTGAAAAAGAATATTTATTTCTCCGTGAATTAATTTCTATGAAAATGTGAGAAATAATAAAAGGATTTCCTACCTCATAGATGACTTCAGTAGCAGTTTGTACTTTTATTCCAAGGGCTGAACTTCTACGTCCATCATCCAAAAACATCTGCACAATGTTGGGGCCTTCTGCCTCTGCCCGGTAGAGTTCTACAAAGCACATCTTGTTCTGCTCATTAGCAGCAACAGACACACCAGACCAATAAGTAGTCTGGTAAGATGGATGCATTGGATGTGCCTGATCAGGATAATATTTGCTGGATGCGGCAGCCATTGGATGTGCATGTGCAACACTTCTGGTATCAATGCAACGAAGGATGCAGATGGAAATGGCAGCAGTAATTGGGATAGCAACAGTGACTGCAACCAACACAATGACGATCAGTAAATACTGGTGGATCTTGATATCAGTATGCATATGTGAAGCATTTAACATATCTGCCGTATTGTTACTAACTGCCAATGTCAAAAACACCGACGTCTTTTGCAGACAAAACTGGACTACCACTATCCTTGACCATAAACTTCAGATGATAGGAGCCAGCATCTTGATGGCTAAGTAAGCGACTGAAAGATAACAATCCAGTATAATGATTGATGGCAAACAACTGTTTATCATTGCCTTCAGTTATTTCATATTTGAGAAATGCATTTTCTTGACTGTCACTATCGGCAGCCTTGAGAAGTGTGATATTCTTTGTATGATGGGGATGATATTTCACATCCAGATTGTAAGGATTAACACTGGGAAATGTAAAATATGGAGCATTATCATTTTTATCTTCAATCTCCACAATCACATTGACCGTATTATCAAGTGGAGGGCTTCCATTATCTTTTTGCTAAAACCTTGAATTTATAAATGTCTTTGAACTCATGGTCAAGAGACATGATTGTAGAAATCAAACCATCACTGGTGATCTTGAAAGGTAAGAAATCTTCATTTTTGGTGAGCAAGGAATATGTGAGTCTACTGCCAGCTCCAAGATCAGGATCAGTGGCATTGATAGAACCAACTGGTGTTTTGGGAATTTCATTCTCAAATACAGAGAATTTAAAAGTATCTTTTGCAAATTGTGGCCGTACATCATTGACATCTTTCACTTTGATGGAGAATTTGCTATCACTGTGTTGCGGAGGAGATCCTTCATCTTTGCAGCTAATTGTAACATCATGGTGATCTTGCATTTCTCTGTCAACTTTGTGCTTCAATGTCACTTTGTATTCTTTTGATCTCAATTTCTGTAATCGGAATTTATCATGGTGCAACTCACAGTTCACTTCTCCATTTTGTCCAGCATCAGGATCTGTCACTTTGACATAAGCAATAAAACTACCCAGCTCAATATCTTCAGAAACGGTCGCTGTGTTGTCAGTTGATTCAGACATGAAAGTCACAAATATATTTGGAGGTCTGTTTTGGGTATTAACAACATTTACAAGAACTCCAGCGAAGCAACTTAATGGTGAAACACCTCCATCTACAGCTCCTACAAAAAGTTTATATAATGGTTTTGGATTGGGGGGTAACATCTGCTTTAAATATATTTTTCCTGTCCTTTTATTCAACTGAAAGTAATTTCTGATTTCTTCTGATGTTTGTGTTCTGAAATGGTAAGTAACTTGTCCATTTGTTCCAGCATCCATATCACTTGCAGACACTGTAACAATAGGTACATTACCATATTCTTTATTCTTGATGGAAACATTGTAAATATTCTGAGTAAATGCTGGGGCGTTATCATTGAAATCTTCAACTATTATATGAATATTCAAAACATTTTGTTTGGGTGGAGTGCCTCCATCTTTTGCAATTACTTGTATCATATATGAGTCTTTATCTTCTCTATCAAGTTTACCATCAACTGAAATACTTAGTTCTGGTGGGCCAAATGGTATTCTTTGAATTGCCAGTGAGAATGGTTCATTTTTATTCTTTTTTAGTTCATAAGTAATTTGTGAATTTGAAATTCCAACATCTTTATCAACAGCATTAGGAATGGCTTTTTTAAAACCTTTACTCACACCTTCTGAAATTTGTATACTGATTTGTTTCTCTGGAAATTCTGGAGAATTATCATTGACATCATTTATAATTATTTTAATTTTTATAATCTTCATGAAAGTCTTTCCTTGTCGTACAGCCACATCAACCATTTGGAAACATTCTGTATTATAGGTACAAAGGGACTCAGCATCCAGTGTCTGAGCAGTGAAAAGTTTTCCTTTCTTCTGGGAGACATGGAATAATTGGGAAGTGCCTGCCATTCCTTGACGGAGTTGGTTGAATGTAATCATACGTCTGTTTTCCAGTGAAACATCATCCATGATGTGGGAATCAGCTGCAATATCTCCCAGGTATGTACCTGGACTTTTTCCTTCATCTATGCTGTATGATAAATCAGCACTGAAGCATGGATAGAAGATTAGAAGTATTTGGTATCCGACTGTCCACAGAACAATATTCAAAATATTATTGTTCATTGTTCTCCCAGTAATGTGTTGTTCAAGTTAACTGAAATTAACAACAGCAATCATATTCAGAAATTTAAATATAAAAATGGTCTCTATATTTTTGACTTGTTTTTATGTCTAATTTTTACCATATTTCCTATATGCTAAGAAATATTTTTTTCCCAGGAAATACCGTCAAAAATCACCCTTCATCTTAGCACTGAAATGTCAATTTGTAGAGTTTGCCAACCGTCATGAATCTCAGTCACAATGTACAATTAATTATGAACCCCCAAACATATAAACTTACAATTATTATATATATGGATGTTGTACCACAAAGACAGTGACAAAAACAACTGATCGTGAAAAAAAACTCAATTTTCTTAAATAAAAAAAGCTAAAATTGCCTCTGTATACTAACGTACAGCATTTATAGTATTCCCTGTTGTACTAAATTAGGTAATGTTAATTACTGTAATAATAGAAGTGGATTGTCAATAATATATTCATTCAGTAATAAACTGGTATAGTGCCAATGCAGTGACAACACACTGTTTACACTCTTGAATGCAACTCTAAAACATCAACTGTTTTTGTGGTGACAAGTTCTTTCTGATGTGAATAAGTATAACATTGTATTAAACTACTGAAAATCCAATTAATAAGAACACAAATATTTAATAATTGCTACAAAATGTTGTGACAGAATGAAAATGACACCGATTTGGACTTGCTAGTACAATAATCTATTAAATCCTCAAGTATTTATTATTTATCTTATTTATCTTTTAAAAAAATACCCAGATAATTATAGGCATCTTTGCATATGGGAAATACGCTATATATCTTGCAATTGTTTTTTTTTTAGGTGTTGTTTATCAAACTACCACATGTAAAAAATCTTTATTTTTTTCTTTAAAAAATAATTGACACAGAAGTTCAAACAATTTAAATAATATAAACAGAAATTGTTACTCTTAAGATATTTTAAAATAGGAAGAAATAAATCGTTTCCTATTTTTACAATGTTCTCTCAACAGAAACTCTTATATAAAACTTATACATTATTTGATAAAAAGTTATTTTGCAAACAACCTCATGCATTTCATGAAAAAAATAATCATATTAGAATTTTTTTGTCCTTCTCTCATTATGTATTCATCTAAATGAGAGCTTCCCAACATGTGCAATGTGAGTAATTTCAATTGTTGGGTGGGTGATGAGCACCTGAACTGAAAATGGTGGGTGATGGGAAATTTTGCTGGGGAATTTCTAATTTTGAGTATTAGAAAAGTCTTTCAACCTATCTTACCCCACCCCCACCACAAATGCTTGGAAAGAACCTGTATAATAAATAAAAAAAAAAAAACAGGTGGTTAATTGGGAATAACTGGGTCCCATTTCTACATGAAATATGAATATACCTGCAATTAATAAATATTTTGGTACTTTCTCGATTCACGAATGGTCATTAACATTGAAGTTGTTCTTCAGGCAAAAATTACTTTTCTTTTTTTTTTTTTTTTAAATAAGGGATGACCTAGAACAAAAAAACTATTGGCTGAATTTTTTATTTGTTGCTAGTATAACATATTTTTTTAGTTTTATAATTATAAACAAAAAACATTTAATTTCTTTTTTAACACTTGGTAACACTAACCCTGACCATAAAACTAACCTTAAGAGATAAGTTCTCAATGGTCAAGTTTGCTTTCTTTAATTCAATAGTAGCAACAGCTGCATATTAGCATTATTTGTTACCTCCCTTTGGTATCTTTTTATGAAGAAAGACAAAGTTTATTAAGCACTACAAGAGACGGGAAGTTGTGGAAAGCCATGATCACCTATGTCCTGAGTGGGGACAACACATAAAGATCATCAAACTTTTACCAAACAATTTTTCCCAAAAAGGTGGGTGGGGGGAACTTTTCCCATTTGAAAGTGGGCAATGATGTGAAAAACATTATTGCGAACCCTTGATCTAAATTTTTCAAATGCAATGCAAAGAATTCTGATAGAATTTAGGATGCCTTCTGATGCCTAAGTATATACCTATAAATTAAAATATAGTAAGAATATAACTATTTGAATATTTTTTAAATATTATTTGCGGATAAAAATATTAAATTTGAAAAGTATGAAATATATTTACCAAATTACTGTTGGTGTATAAAAAAAAAGGTTCTGAATTCAGAATAAAAACTGGATATCAAATGAGTTTGCCAAATTGGTATGAGAAAAAGGAAAAGAATATTGTAATTTAGAGAAAGTATTACTGATTTAATGAAAGTACCATTCTTTGAAATGATTATTTCATTTATTTTGTATTGATGTATTCAGAAATTATATAAAATTAATCAAATAGAAATTGAGAGCATAAATATTTATCATGTTAATCAATGGGCATTTATAAAGGGAGTGGTATACTTAAATGTTCTTTATCATGTTAGAGTTAACTAAATATTTAATAATCTAACCATGATGTCGTTTGTGTGTGTGCATGTGTGCACATGTTTGTGCACCTGGGGTCTGTTGTTCAAATTCATTGTGCATTGCACAGTGGCAAGAAATATCAATAAATTAAAATATTCAAAAAATCATGTCAATTAAAAAATAAAATCCTAAAAAAGAAGTTGAGAAAACTAAGTAATCAGTACACAATTAATAGTTTGTACAGGAAATATTGCACCCAAACAAAGAGACTAAATGCACATTAATAAATGCGTTGCAGATGTTAAAATTTTTCATCAGAAAAACATGCAAAAGTGGATATTTCATATTTTGCAGCAAGTTTTTGATATATTAAATTTTCTGTTTTGGAAAAACTCATCCAAGTAATAAATTAGATATTTAAATTCTAAAACTACATAGTTATAGATATAAAATCTAAATTCTTTTTGAATATTATATATGTTGATTTTTTTTCTTGTACATCTTATCCACATTATATTGCCACATTCAGTTGTGTTTAGAAAAAAAGCAACATGAATAATATTTGC